TCATGGAATCTGAAAGCTGCCAAACCTTTGTGCTGCAGCAGAGCCAGGGGGAGAGGGGGCGGGCTGGGGAGCTGCCGGGGAAGGAAGGATGAATCAGTGAAAGGGTGGGGGAGCCAAGGGGGCCAGAGCTGGAGGCCAGAGGGATAGAGAGGCTGCGATTCCCCCTCCTGGGGGCTGGTGGGGATGGGGTGGGGGATGCTGGGGTTCCCCAGGCCTTTGGTCTCCGGACTGTTTTCTCCCAAGATCTAGGGGAGGAGGAAAAGTTGTGTAAGGGGTGTGGGGGGGGAGGGGGGTGCGCCTCCAGCCCCACCCTCTCCCATCTCTCAGGCAACACCAGTAAACAAGGCTGAATCTTCTGTCCCCCCTCCCAACCTCCTAAAAGTAGTGTTCAGGGAAGCTGATGGATTTCAGGCCTGCATTGCCCTTTACAAATAAGCTGGCTTCCAAAGACTCATACTGTAGGCCATCCCGGCTCCTGGATATTTCACTCTGGCTGTTGAAGGAGAACCAGGTCTCCCGAATCTTGAGGAAGCGATTCTGGTCCCTAGTATTCCTCCAAGGTGGGGATGGGTGAAGAGTCTCAGCTCCTGAGACTTGAGTCCACACGGGTGACATTCCTCCTGGCTCATGTGAAATCCCACTGGCCCCAGCATTTGAAAACATGATTTTCAAGCCTTACCCAAGCATGCACTGTACCCCCCTCTCCCTCCCCCTCCCCGAACTTTGTTCCAAAAGCCTTTTATGGTGTTCAAGAGGAGAATTCGGCTGGAACCAGGTTAGTTCTAATTCCTCTCTAATTTCAGTTTTTTTTAATATTCATTCAACTAGTATTTACTGAGATCCTACTAAGTCCTAGGCTCTGAGTGTAGAGAAATAGTGTCTACTGTGAAAGAAACCAAAGAGTACTTACTATATGATTCCATTTGTATAAATCTCTAGAAAATGCAAACTAATCCATAGTAACCAAGGGCAAACCAGTTGTTGCCTGGAAAGGGGGACAAGGAAGGGCAGGCGGAGGGACCACAAAGGGGTACGTGCAAGGAAATCTGGGGAGAGGTGGATAGGTTTATGACTTGTGGTGATGGCGTTATAGGCACATACATGTTGTCAAAGCTTGTCCAGTTTAATACGTGCAGCTGGTGTGTCAGGCACACCTCAATAAAACTTAAAAAATGAAAACGGCGCAGCCCCCCCGCAGAGGCTTACAATCCCGGATGATCGCCAGGGGGCCTGTAGCCGGATGGAGGCCCACGCATGCGCTGTTCCACAGGTGAAAGTACCTGCCGTGGGGCACGCTGTAGGCAGACCCAAAACTTTAGGCCTCTGGGCGCGGCCTTGGCCTTGCTGGAGGGTGAGAATTCGGTAGGCAGAGAAGGGGGCAGGTTCCGAAAGCGGGAGGCCTGACCCCCTCTGCTCTAGCAGCTGCCTCGTGAGCTGAGCTGTGGAGGGCAGCCCCCTCGCTGAGCCCAGCGTGTCCCCTCCACTCTGCAGACAGCAAGGCCATTGTGGATGGGAACCTGAAGCTGATCCTGGGTCTGATCTGGACGCTGATCCTACACTACTCTATCTCCATGCCCATGTGGGAGGATGAGGAGGACGAGGACGCCCGCAAGCAGACGCCCAAGCAGCGTCTGCTCGGCTGGATCCAGAACAAGGTGCCCCAGCTGCCCATCACTAACTTCAACCGTGACTGGCAGGATGGCAAAGCTCTGGGCGCCCTGGTGGACAACTGTGCCCCTGGTAAGTGGACCAGTGGGCCCATCATGGAGCCCTTCGCTGGTGGTGCTGAGGGCTGTGGCTGTCAGAATGCATATCTCCGGGCTGGGGGATCAGGACGGCCTGTGGGGCTTGCCCTCTGCTCCAACTGAGAGTCATTACTGGTGACAGGCCCTTCCTGCGGGTGTGACAGATACTGCAGCTTGCAGCAAAAGGTTCAGAATTCCTCATTTTACAGACAAGGGCAATGAGGTCCAGAGAGGGCAGTGATTTGTCCAAGATCACACAGTTTATCTGTGGCAGAACTGAACTTGAGCCCAAGGTCTCAACTTCCTGCTCCATGAGTGTCCTACTTTGCCATACGGGTACCATTTCTGCTGAGTTGAGAGAAAGGAAATATGGTAGGACTTGTAGCAAGAATCCCAGAAGTCAGACCCTGACAAGGTTCTTCTTTGTGAGGCTCTGGGAGAGGTTTGACGAGGGACTGAGGCTGGTGTGCTGCTGCCCAGTGACAGGTGGCCCAACACTGTCGTCTCAAACGTAGGCCCTGGCCCGGTCAGGTGGGGGGGCAGTCAGGGCCCATGAGAAGACTGAGGCCATGACTGGCTAGAGCCCTGCCCTATATGCATCTCCCCTTCTGACTATCACCTCCCAAGAAGATAGATCGCCTTCTAATCTGAGTCGGTCAGCTCTGCCTCTGGGGAGCCATGGCCCCTTGGGAGAATCCTCCCCAGTCTGGGGTCAGCTGGGGAGCAGGGGGTGGGAGGTGGGGGCACCAGCCGCCTGGGAAGCATTCCCAGCTGCTGAGCCATTGCCCACAGCTGGTGAGGCCGCCAGAAGTGAGCTCAGCTGTTCCGGCCGGTCATGGATTCCAGCCTTTGAGCTGGCCCCCTCCCAGCCAGTGAGCATCACCCCTCCTCCAGCTCTGGCCTGGACCAGGCACCCCCTGACCTTTGCACCCCTTGACAGGAGTGATCTGGAGCTGCCTCAGCATTCTTCCCATTAGGAGGGCTGTGTTTTGGGTGGCCACAGAGGAGAACCTATCCTCTCATGACATGCCCTTATGTGCCTCAGTTTCCCCAAGTGGGTAATGAGGAAGGAGAGGGTGTCTTAGGCTCTAAGCCTGACGTGGGAAGTGTTTGGAGCTCTAGGACTTGAGGGAGGCTGTGAGGAGACCTTGTAGAGGATGGCGTCAGAGGCATGTGCAGGATGGAACCTGCTGTCCCGAGGCAGCAGGAGTGAGGCGGGAAGGACTGGGAGGGGGGCGGTCCTGACAGGGTCTGCGCCGGGGCCTGGGCCGGCAGAAGGCTGACTGGCAGGGCTGGTGCCAGGCTGCGTCAGCCAGGGCAGAAAGACCTCATTGTTGGTGCTAGGGAGGGCTGCCGCGCCTCCCAATGGCGATGGGCATCCCAGCGATGGTCCGTAACGTAGGGGGGTAGCAAGAACCTGGCTGGTCAGGGGCCCAGAGGTGCGCGGCAGCAGGCGTGACCCCGCAGCCTGTGAGGGTGTCGGGTGAGCAGATGCTCTGCATTCTGACTGGCTGCCTTCCCCTACTCATCGTCTCCCTCTACCATCTCTCTAGGCCTGTGCCCTGACTGGGAAGCCTGGGACCCCAACCAGCCTGTGGAGAACGCCCGGGAGGCCATGCAGCAGGCGGACGACTGGCTCGGGGTGCCCCAGGTACACGAACAAAGAGGGTGGAGGAGAGTAGGGGGCCAGGAGGGCCAGGACGGAGGTTGGGTCTATGAGGATGCCCGGTCAAGAGCGGGGAGAGCACCGAAGTCACTGGGTAGAGGGCACCCTGTAACTCCCTTCTTCCCTGTGGCAGGTGATTGCCCCCGAGGAGATTGTGGACCCCAACGTGGATGAGCATTCTGTCATGACCTACCTGTCCCAGTTCCCCAAGGCCAAACTCAAACCTGGTGCCCCTGTTCGCTCTAAACAGCTGAACCCCAAGAAGGCCATCGCCTACGGGCCTGGTACGTGTCGAGTCCCTGCCGGTCTTCCCTGGGCAGTTGGGTCCATCCTAGGATGGGTCTTCCTAAGTAACCTGGCTCTGCCGTCTGTCCCTCAGGCATCGAGCCCCACGGCAACACTGTGCTACAGCCTGCCCACTTCACCGTGCAGACGGTGGATGCCGGCGTGGGCGAGGTGCTGGTCTACATTGAGGACCCTGAGGGCCACACCGAGGAGGTATGGAGAGCTGCTGAGGACGAGAGGGAATGGCATGGGCTTCGAACCAGAGACCACGGGCTGCTAGCAGGACTGGCCTGGAGATGGCTGCCAGAATTAACTACTAGGCCGGGTTCTGGGGGAAGCATCACCGTGGGTGCTGCCAGGCACTGTGGGGTCAGGAGGGGCTGCAGCCTCTGTGACTTCCGGTCTTTTCCCTTCCCAATAGGCCAAAGTGGTTCCCAACAATGACAAGAACCGCACCTATGCTGTCTCCTATGTGCCCAAGGTTGCGGGGTTGCACAAGGTATCTCCCTGCCGACCCTCCCCATCCCGCTCACGTCCTTGGCTCTGTCGTCGTGGAGCCCTCTGTCAGCTCGCAGCCCACCCCAGCATGCCCAGCAGCCCACCTCTCCCCAGCCTTGGTTGCGCCCTGCCCATCCACCCCCTCTCAAAAGAACTGCTTTCCCCGAGAGGCTAACATTTGGCCCCTGATCTGCAGGTGACTGTGCTCTTTGCTGGCCAGAATATCGAACGCAGTCCCTTTGAGGTGAACGTGGGCATGGCTCTGGGAGATGCCAACAAGGTGTCAGCCCGTGGCCCTGGCCTGGAGCCTGTGGGCAATGTGGCCAACAAACCCACGTACTTTGACATCTATACTGCGGGTAAGGATGGGCCCTAGGGGGATGTCAGGTGGGCAGCGCATGACTACATGGGTGATGTGGATGGGGGACAGGGGCAGGGTCTCAGCCAGAGGGTGGGTGGTCCCAGAGTGAGGGAGCCCGGAGCAGCTGTTTGTGTCCAGAGAGGGGGTTGCTGACTGCTTTTTGTGCATGGCAGGGGCCGGCACTGGTGATGTCGCCGTGGTGATCGTGGACCCGCAGGGCCGGCGGGACACAGTGGAGGTGGCCCTGGAGGACAAGGGCGACAGCACGTTCCGATGCACGTACAGGCCTGTGATGGAGGGGCCCCACACGGTGCATGTGGCCTTCGCTGGTGCCCCCATCACCCGCAGTCCTTTCCCCGTCCATGTAGCTGAAGGTAAAAGGCCCTTCACCCAGCCCCACAGTCACCCTCCCTGAGGCCAGGACACAGAGAGAATTGCCACCAAATTCCGGGGCTGAGGGTTTATGGGAAACGAACCACTAAATCCAGGGGTGGGAGGGGAGCCGGCATTAAAATAGGTAGAATATCCATGGGGCGGGGGCAGGGGGTAGCTCTGGAGAGATCTCATCCTGGTCATCTCTCCACCTACTATCCCAGGGAGGGTCCGGAGACCACAGCAAAGTATACAGACAGGTGCCACCTTGCAAGGGTTGTGGGGGCATATGTGATGGGCACCCATACCCCAGGCCCTCGGGTGGTGACTCCCGCCACTTGGTTCTCTCCCTGCCGCTCAGAGCCCTTGCCGTCACACGTCCCCTCCGTGCCCATCATCCACCAGGCCAAGAAAGTGGTGCCACGTTAGTACTGTCCAGGGGAGGTGGGGCCAGCATGGCCACAGCTGACTGGCCTCACCTGTGCTGTGTGGAATGGCCCAGGCAGTGTGGAATTGCCCTTCCGTGGCATTCTGTGACGGGCCCCAGGTTCTGTGCCATTGCCTGTGTCCTGTGGTAGGCCTGGATTATACGTCCTTGCCTGTTTTGTGGCATCCCGTTGGGTCCTATGCCATTTTATGTGTTCCGTGGCAGTCTGAGATCACTCTTCTTTGGCCTGTGTTCAGTAGCAAGGTCTGGGTTCATTGCCACTGGTAGTGTTCTGTGGCAGGCTGATTTCCATGCATTGCCTGTGACCTGCAGAAGGCTTCGTGTTATGTTGAATATCTCGTTCTGTGGCCTCGCTTAGTGTTTTATGGCATGACCTAGTCCTAAAGCTGCTATGGTGGCTCTGCCTGAGAAGGCTCAGATGGCTCTGGGTGGGTGGCTTTGGGTGGTTTGGGGACTTCCCCTCTCTCTCTTTGCCCCACTCTCTGCCCAGGCTCTGCCATGTCTGTGTCCCAAGTGACAATGACTCTGAGAAGCCCAGCAGGGAGGGTTTCTTGTAGCTGGCTCCTCGTCCAGCATGGCTCCCAAGGGCCCCAGTTGTGTCGGGGGCCCTGGGGAGCACGGGGGAGGACTGCATGAGGCCATAGCCTGTGCCTGTGAGGGTCAGGAAGACTATGTCCAGTGAGGTGGGAAATGAGTGGTGAGGGGCTGAGGCTCTGTCTCCAGCCCCTCAGCACCCCTAATCTTCTCCTTCCAACCCCCAGCCTGTAACCCTAACGCCTGCCGTGCCTCTGGGCGGGGCCTGCAGCCCAAGGGTGTGCGTGTGAAAGAGGTGGCTGATTTCAAGGTGTTCACTAAGGGTGCCGGCAGCGGGGAGCTCAAGGTCACAGTCAAAGGGCCAAGTGAGTGCCGGGGCCCAGGACTGGGGGGTGGGAGAGCAGGGAGGAAATATGGCCCGTGGTTCTGGCTTCCTGAGGGCAGTGACAACGAGCACCATGCCCCGCCCCGGAGAGACTCCAAGAAGAGACTCTGCCCAGAGGTACCATGGGACCTTAGGCATGTTGTCTCCTCTCTTGCCTCAGTTTCTCACCTGCAAACTGGAAATGATCCTTTTCACCCTACACGCTACTCTGGGTGTCATGCACAGGGATGGCATGTGGTCCCTGCCCGAGTTTCAGCTCTGCCCACTAGTCGCACTGCCCTCAGGCTGGGCCCGGGTGCCGGGGTCCCTGAGGGGATTGAGGACCTGTGGCTCTCAGACTGGTGATCACCTTCCTGTGTGCTCCCCGTCTCCTCAGAGGGCACAGAAGAGCCAGTGAAAGTGCGAGAGGCTGGAGATGGCGTGTTCGAGTGTGAGTACCACCCTGTGGTGCCTGGGAAGTATGTGGTGACCATCACGTGGGGCGGCTATGCCATCCCCCGCAGGTAAGCACCACGCACTCGCCAGGCCTGCCTGTCTGGGGCCTCACAAGCTGGGGAGGGGAGGACGGGCTGCCTGAGGGAAGAGAGGACTGGTACCTCTGGCAGAGGTGCTTCCCGGCATTGACCCCAGATCCCTCTTCGCCCAGTCCTTTTGAGGTACAGGTGAGCCCAGAGGCAGGAGCGCAGAAGGTACGGGCCTGGGGTCCCGGCCTGAAAACTGGCCAGGTGGGGAAGTCGGCCGACTTTGTGGTGGAGGCCATTGGCACGGAGGTGGGGACACTGGGTAAGTGGCTGGGTGGCAGCAAGCGGGAACGCTGGGGAGTGGTGCGATGGAGGGACACGGGGGGGTGACTGGGGACGGGAGGCGGGAACGCTGGGTAGTATCAGGATGAGACAGAGTGCGACGGAGGGGTGACTGAGGGAGCGATAGGAGACCTGCCCGAGTGTCCAAGCTGCCTCTTGGACCCCCTGATCTTCCCTCCATCGCTCCCAGGATTCTCCATCGAGGGGCCCTCACAGGCCAAGATCGAGTGTGATGACAAGGGGGATGGCTCCTGCGATGTGCGGTACTGGCCCACGGAGCCTGGGGAGTACGCCGTGCACGTCATCTGCGATGACGAGGACATCCGAGACTCACCCTTCATTGCCCACATCCAGCCAGCCGCACCTGACTGCTTCCCGGATAAGGTGGGGTCCTTGGGCCTGCATACTAGCCCGGGATGGGGTGAGCAGGCCCTCCTCCAGTCCCCAACCTAGCCCTCCGCTCCTCCCCCTGCACAGGTGAAGGCCTTTGGGCCTGGCCTGGAGCCCACTGGCTGCATCGTGGACAAGCCAGCAGAGTTCACCATCGATGCCCGTGCTGCTGGCAAGGGAGACCTGAACCTGTATGCCCAGGTAAGTCACTGCCCGGTCCTGCTACCCCCATTGCCCAGGAACCCTGGGAGGGCGGAGGCAGGTGAGAGGTAGAGGAAATTGTAGCGTCACTGGCCCGGCTTGACTCTCACGGATCCAAAAGAACTATGGGAAACTTAAAAATGTTGTGTTTTCTGATGATAACCTTATGAACATATTTTACCAAAAGTGTATTTTTTTGTACTAATAATTTTGCAATTGAAAGACGATTTGAATATGACATTGACTTCCCAAGTCCGTTTCTCATGCTGCTGTCCGCTAATCCCTAGAAGTTAATGAATGTACTCTTGGGTTCAAGAGGATGATTTTCCTTTAACATGTTCACTATTCAATTTTAGAAACATTGATTTAACCCAGCCTTTTCCCAGCTAACACATTGCAGATGCCTGGGCTGGGAGGCTGGGCCACATAAATGGCTCCCAGGGCGTGCTCCCCGCCACCATAGCACGTGGCGCTGGGCTCTTCTGGCCTGAGGTCTGAGGCAGTAGGTGAGGAGGGCTGCCTGAGGCCAGCAGAGGGCGTCAGTGCTCTGAGGAGGCCGGAGTGTTCTTAAGACTCTCGTTTGGTTACCCCCCCAGGATGCTGATGGCTGCCCTGTCAACATCATGGTCATCCCCAATGGCGACGGCACCTTCCGCTGCTCCTACGTGCCCACCAAGCCCATTAAACACACCATCATCATCTCCTGGGGAGGCGTCAATGTGCCCAAGAGCCCCTTCCGGGTGTGTCCTCCTGTCCTGCCCCCCTGCCGCCTGGGGTCCCAGAGGGAGGGTGGAGCCCCATACAGGAGATGTTGGTCGTCCCTGGGCCCTTGTCTCCACTCCCCACCTCAAAACCCACACAGAGGCTGAGGCTGGTCCTGCTGAGGCCGGGGCGGGTAGTGATGGGGTGTGGGGCCTATGGGAGGGGCCCTGGGCTGAGCATCAACCTCCTCCCGACAGGTGAACGTGGGAGAAGGCAGTCACCCCGAGCGGGTGAAGGTGTATGGCCCAGGCGTGGAGAAGACGGGCCTCAAGGCCAACGAGCCTACTTATTTCACCGTGGACTGCAGCGAGGCTGGGCAAGGTGTGCCTGGCTGTGGTCAGGGGAGTGGGCGGGGCCTGGGTAGGTGGGGCTTGCACTCTGGCCAGATCCTGCTTCTAGCTAAGTGGGGGCGGCCGTTGAGAACCCACTCATGGCCCTGTGCCTGCCTCCCCTCAGGTGACGTGAGTATCGGCATCAAGTGTGCTCCCGGAGTGGTGGGCCCTGCAGAAGCTGACATCGACTTTGACATCATCAAGAACGACAATGACACCTTCACAGTCAAGTACACCCCCCCAGGGGCCGGCCGCTACACCATTATGGTGCTGTTTGCCAACCAGGTACCCTACCCTTGGCTTCTGGCCGTCACTGGTGGCCTGCAGCCTCCAAGCCTAAGCCGCAGCTTCATATCCTGTCCTTTGGGGACAGTTGCACAGCCATCGACAGAGCACTTTCTGTGTGTGGGTGGTGGGCCTCAGAAGGAACAAAGGGGCTGTTTCAGAAGCCACCTTTGCCTACCCTGACCAGATCTTTTTTTTCCACCCAGGAGATCCCTGCCAGCCCCTTCCACATTAAGGTGGACCCATCCCACGATGCCAGCAAAGTCAAAGCTGAGGGCCCTGGGCTGAACCGCACGGGTAGGCGTTTGGGCGGGGGCTGGGCTGGGCCGGGATCGATGCTAGGTGTCCACCAGGCCCTCACCGCTGTCTTGGGGTGGGCTCCCCAGGTGTGGAAGTCGGGAAACCCACTCACTTCACGGTGCTGACCAAGGGAGCCGGCAAGGCCAAGCTGGACGTGCACTTTGCCGGGGCTGCCAAGGGTGAGGCCGTTCGGGACTTTGAAATCATCGACAACCATGACTACTCCTACACCGTCAAGTACACCGCCGTCCAGCAGGTGTGTCCCGCTTCCTCCCCACCCCACCCATCCTGGTTGATGAGGGTCCTGCATCTCCTTCCGCCGGTCTCCTAGGACCACTTCTGGGTCGTCTTGGCCCTTTCCTGGCACCTATCCTCTCTGGCTGTGCCACTCTGAGCCCGAGGTCCACATCGGCCAAGGGCATATTGCCAGGCCGTGTCTAAGCCACCCAGTTCTAACCTCTTCTTGTACCCGATAGGGCAACATGGCAGTGACGGTGACCTACGGTGGGGACCCTGTCCCCAAGAGCCCCTTTGTGGTGAATGTGGCACCCCCACTGGACCTCAGCAAAGTCAAAGTTCAAGGCCTGAACAGCAGTAAGTGGGGCAGGAGCCGCCCTGGAAGGGAGAAGTGCTGTGGGGTGGGCCGGAGTCTCTGCTCACTGTGCCCCTTGACCTCTCTGCAGAGGTGGCTGTGGGGCAAGAACAGGCCTTCTCTGTGAACACACGTGGGGCTGGTGGTCAAGGGCAGCTGGATGTGCGGATGACTTCACCCTCCCGTCGCCCCATCCCTTGCAAGCTGGAGCCTGGGGGCGGAGCTGAAACCCAGGCCGTGCGCTACATGCCCCCTGAGGAGGGACCCTACAAGGTGGACATCACCTACGACGGTCACCCAGTGCCCGGTAGCCCCTTTGCTGTGGAGGGTGTCCTGCCCCCTGATCCCTCCAAGGTAAGTAAGGAGATAGGAGTTGAAGGGAGCTGGGATTTGAGGGTTTATAGGGAAAATGAATAAGTCACGGAGGCAAGAGGGCCGGTGTACCTGGAATGACTACAGCCCTGGGTCCAAGGCCACGGTGATCCCTCCATCTCAGGACCTGCCTTTGAAACAGCCTAGTTATGAAGAGTGTGGCCTTTGATCACACCGGGCTTGGGCTCCAGCTTCACTAACCGAGACAAACTCTTTAATCTGTCAGCCTCCATTCCCTCATCTAGAATTGTTGTAAGGACTCAGCCTGTCATAGCTGCTACAGTTAAAGGTGCTTAGCTGGGTGGGGAGCCATGAAGACCAGGCACGGGAGAGGCCGGATGTAAGGAGACTATATACCTGCTCCTCTCCCTAGGTTTGTGCTTATGGGCCTGGTCTCAAGGGCGGCCTGGTAGGCACCCCGGCACCGTTCTCCATTGACACCAAGGGGGCTGGCACGGGCGGCCTGGGGCTGACTGTGGAGGGCCCCTGTGAGGCCAAGATTGAGTGCCAGGACAACGGTGATGGCTCATGTGCTGTCAGCTACCTGCCCACGGAGCCCGGCGAGTACACCATCAACATCTTGTTTGCCGAAGCCCACATCCCTGGCTCACCCTTCAAGGCCACCATCCGGCCCGTGTTCGACCCGAGCAAGGTGCGGGCCAGTGGGCCGGGCCTGGAGCGTGGCAAGGCTGGCGAGGCGGCCACCTTCACAGTGGACTGCTCGGAGGCTGGCGAGGCTGAGCTGACCATCGAGATCCTGTCGGACGCCGGTGTCAAGGCCGAGGTGCTGATCCACAACAATGCCGACGGCACCTACCACATCACCTACAGCCCCGCCTTTCCTGGCACCTACACAATTACCATCAAGTATGGCGGGCACCCTGTCCCCAAATTCCCTACCCGCGTCCACGTGCAGCCTGCTGTCGACACCAGTGGAGTCAAGGTCTCAGGGCCCGGGGTGGAGCCTCACGGTGAGTGAGAGAGGCGGAGCTGGTCAGGGAGCCCTGGACATCAGTGGGAGGGAGCAGGGCTGAGGGCTCAGGGAGGGCCAAGGCAGAGGTAAAAGGAGGGCCCTTAAGACTCAGGTACCCCAAAGAAGGAGCCAAGGGCCAGAGGCTGGGCATGGAGCTTTGCCTCTGCTCATGTGGCAAAACTCTCTGCCTATGTGCGTCTTTCCGGGGAGATCCCAGCTTTCAGATCAGGTGCCTGATCTGAGAAAGCTAAGGACCCCAGTGTAGAGAATAGAGTGGGAAAGCTTTGGGTAGAAGGTCAGGAGATAGTTCAGCCCAGTTCAGTGAGTGCGAGTGGCCACCTGTTGGAGGCCAGCCCCTGGCGAGGCATGACAGTGGAAGGTCAAGGGAGACAGAAGACCCAGACCCACCCTTGAAGGGCCCACAGCCTGGTGGGGTGCCTGACATGAACAGAATATCACACGGTGGTGATGGGAGCGAAGCAGGGGCCTGGAGCACACGGTGGGGGGGGGGGGGGGGGCGGGCCAGAGGGTGGCTGGGCTCAGGCTGGGAAGTAGCGGATAAGAGCAAGAGCCTGAAAGCTGGGGAGGGTGGAGGCATGAGCGACTATGTGAGGCTGCCCTTGACTCACACGGAGTACTCCTTTCCTGGGACCCAGGTGTCCTGCGTGAGGTGACCACTGAGTTCACTGTGGATGCAAGATCCCTAACAGCCACAGGTGGGAACCACGTGACAGCTCGTGTGCTCAACCCCTCGGGTGCTAAGACGGACACCTATGTGACAGACAACGGGGACGGCACCTACCGAGTGCAGTACACAGCCTATGAAGAGGGTGAGGACCTGGGCCGAGCAGGGACGGTGGGGAACCGATGACTCTCAGTGCGGATGGGGTGCTAGGGGCTGTGCACACCCTGATCGCCCTGTGTGGCTGGCTTCCAGGCGTGCATCTGGTGGAGGTCCTGTATGATGACGTAGCTGTGCCCAAGAGCCCCTTCCGAGTGGGCGTGACCGAGGGCTGTGACCCCACCCGCGTGAGGGCCTTTGGGCCTGGCCTGGAGAGCGGCTTGGTCAACAAGGCCAACCACTTCACTGTGGAGACCAGGTATCCTCCCCCTTTCCTAATCTGGACACCGATGCTGTAGCCACCCTGATCCCAGCTACTCACCCTTCTCCCTTGTCCTTCCGGTGTGCGCCTCATCCCACCCCTTCTCCAGGGTGACCCAGGAGCCTACCTCCCCTGGTGTTTCAAGATCAGCCCCTTTGTCCCTCCTCAGCTGGGGACCTGGCAGCCTGCCTTCTGTCCTCCACCCACCCCCTTCAGTGGCTCTTCCCTCTCCCTACTCACCGATCCTAGCAGAGCTGAGAAGGGTGTTGCCTTGCAGGGGAGCTGGCACCGGAGGCCTCGGCCTAGCCATCGAGGGCCCCTCAGAAGCCAAGATGTCCTGCAAGGACAACAAAGATGGTAGCTGTACCGTGGAGTACATCCCTTTCACCGCTGGAGACTACGACGTCAACATCACCTTTGGGGGGCGGCCCATCCCAGGTGTGCAGAGAGAGTGGGTGGCGGGGGAGGGTTGTACAGGGAAGGCATCAGTGACAACGTGTGGCTGCTGAGGCTGTGGCCAAGAGGCAGGGCAGTGATCGTTGCTGATGGGACAACCCTTCGGTTCATTCCCACGGGCCCAGGGCTGGCGTCCCGGCCCTTTGCCTGGAGCGCCAGACCTCACGGGTTCAGTCACTCAGGCACAGTCCAGGCCACTCTCGCCGGCAGAGGAGAGCCTCTCTCTCGTGCCTTCTCACGCTGTCCGCAAAGAACAGGGCTGAGCTGCTTGGGCAGGTCGTGTCTCCTGTTATTGCAGAGCTTAGGCATGCTGAAACTGGACATTTTTTTTTCCACCGTAACTTTTCTAACTTCATGGTCAAAAGTGCATTTTATTTTTAAAATAATCCATTTTTAGCATTTTATTAATTTAAGAAGGTCTTCTTCCAGGCCTGTGGCCCAGCACATAATAAGGTTTGCCCCACCTTAGTCTGCAGCCAAGTTTATTTGTCCCCGTTTATGAGCAAGTTCCTAAGCATTTGTACATGTTGGTCTGGCCTCTCTGAGGGTATTTCAGAGGCAGGGAAGGCAGGGAAGACCTCTCCCCTGCCTCCTTGGCGTCAGAGACCTTTCTAGGCAGGTGGGTAGGGGCTGATGTCCTTCTCCTTGCAGGGAGCCCGTTCCGGGTGCCGGTGAAGGATGTGGTGGACCCTGGGAAGGTGAAGTGCTCAGGGCCGGGGCTGGGGGCCGGTGTCAGGGCCCGGGTACCCCAGACCTTCACGGTGGACTGCAGCCAAGCCGGCCGGGCCCCACTGCAAGTGGCCGTGCTGGGCCCCACAGGTACCGAATGTCTGGGGCAGGGTGGAAGGAGGCGGGGCGGGGCACCAGGAGGCTTTGCTGACCCTCCCCCCTTGCTCAGGTGTAGCCGAGCCTGTAGAGGTGCGTGACAAGGGAGATGGCACCCACACCGTCCACTACACCCCAGCCACCGATGGGCCCTACACGGTAGCCGTCAAGTATGCCGACCAGGAGGTACCACGCAGGTGAGAAGCACTCTTGGGCTCCCATGCTGTGGCTGAGCGCTGGGGCGCTCCCACTGGGGCCACACCTGCCGGCCACTGGCAGGGCCCTGGGGGTGCCCCCCCCCCACCGTTTTGGCCTCATCCGGTCTCCAGCTCAGCCACCCCCGCTGCTCTTCCTTGGGGCTCCCTGCCTGTCACCACACAGGCAGCACAGCCCCAGGGGCTCTCCTTGGGCCGGGCTTTCCCACCACGTAGCTACAAAATGAGTGCCTTGGGAGAAGGCGGCCTCCTGCACCCTCTTCTTTAAACCGACCACAGCATCTTCACTGGGAATGCAGGAATTCTTAGGGTCTGTCACGGGTACCCTCGGGTAATCCTCCCACAAAACTCAGGATGTGGTCTGCCCCCTCCTCCCCGCCCCAGAGTCCTCCCCCCAGACCCCCGGCCAACTGTCCATCCTTTCTGTCCCTCAAGCCCTTTCAAGATCAAGGTGCTTCCTGCCCATGATGCCAGCAAGGTGCGGGCCAGCGGCCCCGGCCTCAACGCCTCTGGCATCCCTGCCAGCCTGCCCGTGGAGTTCACCATCGATGCCCGGGATGCCGGTGAAGGTTTGCTCACCGTCCAGATCCTGGTGAGTCCATGTGTAGTACACTTCCCCGGTCAGGGTTTGGGTACAGGCAGGCCCTGACCTCTGCCTCTCCCCCAGGACCCGGAGGGAAAGCCCAAGAAAGCCAACATCCGAGACAACGGGGATGGCACGTACACTGTGTCCTACCTGCCAGACATGAGTGGCCGGTACACCATCACCATCAAGTATGGCGGTGACGAGATCCCCTACTCGCCCTTCCGCATCCATGCCCTGCCCACTGGGGATGCCAGCAAGTGTCTTGTCACAGGTAGGCACCCACCCCATGTCCTCTGCCCCTGCTCACCATCGAGCACCCCTCATTGCTCTTCCAGGTCCCTAGCCCAGTCCCCAGGGGACTGCTGGTCAGAGAGCCCACCTCTCCCACCTCCCCTGCCCCCACCCCCCCACCCCCTCTCACCAGCTACGTGGCCTCACACTCTTCTCTGTTTCCAGTGTCCATTGGAGGCCATGGCCTGGGTGAGTGCCCTTTTTCTTCTCTTCTCACTGTGGGCTGAGGTGGCAGGGGCAGCTGGGAATGGAGAGGGACTGAGCACAGCCCCCAGAGACCTTCAACCTGGCTTGGCTCTTCTGGGTGGCAGGTGCCTGCTTGGGACCCCGCATCCAGATCGGGGAGGAGACAGTGATCACGGTGGACGCCAAGGCGGCAGGCAAGGGGAAGGTGACGTGCACGGTATCCACTCCGGATGGGGCGGAGCTCGACGTGGATGTGGTTGAGAACCATGATGGTACCTTTGACATCTACTATACAGCGCCCGAGCCGGGCAAGTACGTCATCACCATCCGCTTTGGAGGCGAGCACATCCCCAACAGCCCCTTCCACGTGCTGGTAAGTTCCAAGGCCCTGGACACTGGCTGGGGAGATGGGCCCTCTTAGCAGCGGCAAGGAATCACGAACCTGTCCGCACACCTGATAGATTCTGGGCCCAGAGTGTTCCAGAGTCAAGCCATTGATTTCCCACAGCCTCCCAACTTGGGAGTTGAGCACAGCCCGTTTTCTGGCCCCTCCAGTGGTCGGTCGGCTCTCTCTGGAGGCACTTGCCATGTTCTTCTCTGATCCTCAGGCCCACTGTCCCTATACATACCCCCAAGGTGGCCCTGCAGGACGATGAAGCCCTCTAGAGGGCAAAGCACTCAAATTATTCATACTGCCTCATGGGCAGGCTGAGATTTCAGATCTCTGGGCCATTCTCTGAGTCCGCTCTCACTCACTCGAGCTGGCATGAACTGGCCTACCGGGTAACAAGCCGTGCTCTCCCGTGCCTTGTCTCCCAGGCGTGTGACCCCATGCCCCACGTGGAGGAGCCTCCCGATGTGCTGCAGCCGCACCGGCCCGGCCCCTACCCCACACACTGGGTACTGCCGCCTCCCACACATCACCCTCCTCCTGCTCCTTCATTTCTTCCTTCTGATCCTCAGTGGCCAGGGTTGGGGCATGGTCTGGGGGCCATCTTGGGGAGCAGGCGGGAGTCAGGCTGGGCAGACACATCCCTGAGCTGAGCACGGCACCTCTTCTCTTGCAGCTGACACACCTCTCCTGCCACTCTGGTTTCACCATTAACCATCTTGTTCTTTCCTATCTCTGACTTCAATTGTGACTCAGGCCAAGCTCCCCAGGCCTTCCCCAGCCAATGACTGTTCCTCTCCCCTGCCCCAGGCCACAGAGGAGCCAGTGGTGCCTGTAGAGCCAATGGAGTCCATGCTTAGGCCCTTCAACCTGGTCATCCCCTTCACCGTGCAGAAAGGGGAACTCACAGGTACTGTCCGGGGGCCCCAAGGCAGGAGAGCTCAGAGTGGGCACTTCTTCCAGGCCAGAGGGGGGAAGTGAGCTACCCAGGGTTACACAGCAAGTTGGGCAGGGCTGCAATTCAGACTTGAGCCTTCTGTGTCCCAGTTCGGGCTTCATCTCACTGCTCCAGGCTACCTCATGGTGCCTGGGACAGCAGGGAAAGGGTGGGCTGTGGTAGGATAAACAGGGTCCCCTACATAAATGTGTTCCCTGGCAGGGGAGGTACGGATGCCCTCTGGGAAAACAGCCCGGCCCAACATCACCGACAATAAGGATGGAACCATCACGGTGAGGTATGCACCCACCGAGAAAGGCCTGCACCAGATGGGGATCAAGTATGACGGCAACCACATCCCTGGTAAGTTGGGGCCAGGCTGAGAGGAACCCACAGTGACTTCATTCTTGCCTGCCTTCTTTTGACAAATATTCACTGTGCACCTGCTGTGTGCAGACACAGCACACACCCCCAGGCCCTGGGGAGGCTGGTGTCTCAGTGGGAGGCAGGCTTCCATCAGACAGACCCCCACAGCAGACAGGGAAGCCATAGGAAGGCACTTGGGACCGTGCTGGGCTCAAGCAGTTCCCGTCTTCACTACTGACCCAGTCCCCTTTCTCTGTTTCTTTCAGGAAGCCCCCTGCAGTTTTATGTGGATGCCATCAATAGCCGCCATGTGAGTGCTTATGGGCCAGGCCTGAGCCATGGCATGGTCAACAAGCCGGCCACCTTCACCATTGTCACCAAGGATGCTGGGGAAGGTGAGGGGAGCTGTAGGCAGAGGGCTGGAGTAGGAGGCCAGATGCAGGGATGAGGGCAGGACCTCTGATCTCAGCCCCACCTCCCCCTACAGGGGGCCTGTCCCTGGCTGTGGAGGGCCCATCCAAGGCAGAGATCACCTGCAAGGACAACAAGGATGGCACCTGCACCGTATCCTACTTACCCACAGCGCCTGGAGACTACAGCATCATCGTGCGCTTTGATGACAAGCACATCCCAGGAAGCCCCTTCACGGCCAAGATCACAGGTGAGGTGGAAGTAGGCACCCAGGCCTCCAGTATACGCCCCCAGCACACAATGGATGTGCAAGACCAGTGTGTTCAAGTAATCAAGGGTTGTTAGTGTAGGGGCCCCTCTGGGTGGAAGAGGGCATTTTTGTACAAATATCAGGAACATTCCATTCCCTGTAGCAGGTGAGAAATATCCACCCCTCAGGCTTTGAAATACATCATCTCAGTGTTTGGAGTAACTCTTAATGAAGTTAGGATACTGATAAACCTCCTTGATAGATTGGTAGGCCCAGAGAGGCTAAGCAACTTGATCAGAGCCACATAGCAAGTAAGGGATCCGTGCCGACTGGTCTAGTGTTTTGGTTCCATGAAACTGTGTGACTTGTGATTAAAATACACAGATTAGGGATTTATCCCATTTGGGCCGGAGGCATCCACAAGGCAGCTGGGGTAGGGGGCCCGTCTGGAAGCTTTGGCAGCTAACACGTGAATGAAGACCAGGCTCTCTTGGGCCTTCGGCCTCTCTGCCCCTTGGGTGGGCAGGTCTGTGGAGTCCAGCGGGGTCTGCCAGGAAGTCTCCTGAGCCCCATGAGAACACGCTACCTGGAGTCCTAACCGCCTGACATGTCAAACTCCCCCACCAGGCGATGACTCGATGAGGACATCACAGCTCAATGTGGGCACCTCCACGGATGTGTCACTGAAGATCACGGAGAGTGACCTGAGCCTGCTGACTGCCAGCATCCGCGCCCCCTCAGGCAACGAGGAGCCCTGCCTATTGAAGCGCCTGCCCAACAGGCACATTGGTGAGTGTGGGGCTGTGGGGAGGGGCCTCAGGAAGAGGAAGACCTGAAAGGAGCTGGGAAGGGGTGCTCTGCCAGGCCTTGGGCACCATGCCTGACCACCCCCCTTTCCACAGGCATCTCCTTCACCCCGAAGGAGGTTGGGGAGCACGTGGTAAGCGTGCGCAAAAGTGGCAAGCATGTCACCAACAGCCCCTTCAAGATCCTGGTGGGGCCATCTGAGATCGGAGATGCCAGCAAGGTGCGGGTCTGGGGCAAGGGCCTGTCCGAGGGACACACCTTCCAGGTGGCGGAGTTCATCGTGGACACTCGCAACGCAGGTGCTTCTCGCCCCAGAAACCCCTTGTTTTGGCTGGTGCTTCCAACAAGGACTTGAACTTTCCTGCCCAGCAGCCCTTAGTCATCGCCTCCTCCCTGGACTTCCCATTCTGGGGTCCATTTGAGGGAAAGCACATGTTCCAGGTCATTTCTCTTAAATGTTAAGAGAAAGTTCAGCTCTCTTAAGTTTCTGACTGTCCCTCACTCACTGGAACCCAAGAGGCCCACCTGGGGGAATTTTCCATACTGCCCATCCCGGACTGTCTGGTTCAGTGTCTGGCTTACCCCTCCTCCCACAGAGCCAGCTTTCATTGGTGGTTATACATGCTGGGTGCCTGGTCCAGACAGAGCCTGTAGTGGGGGGGCGGGAAGAGCAGGGTGGCAGGGCCTGAGGGACACGTGTCCTTTGCTTCCTGCCAGGTTACGGGGGCCTGGGGTTGAGTATTGAAGGCCCTAGCAAGGTGGACATCAACTGTGAGGACATGGAAGATGGCACATGCAAAGTCACCTACTGCCCCACTGAGCCTGGCACCTACATCATCAACATCAAATTTGCTGACAAGCACGTGCCTGGTAAGCTTTGGGCCACAGCTGGGCAGGGAAAGGCCGGGAGGCCGGTGTCTGAGCCATCCGCTCCCCCCGCCTCTCCCCCTCCAGGAAGCCCGTTCACTGTGAAGGTTACCGGTGAGGGTCGCATGAAGGAAAGCATCACGCGGCGGAGACAGGCACCTTCCATTGCCACCATTGGCAGCACCTGTGACCTCAATCTCAAGATCCCAGGTAGGAGCCAGGAAGAGCCTGGCAGGGCTCGGGGGAGGGCAGCGGGCCCAGAGCCTACCCCACGGGGCCCCGTCCTTCCGGCACACTCACCTCCACTGCTCCGTGCCCCACAGGGAACTGGTTCCAGATGGTGTCTGCCCAGGAGCGCCTGACGCGCACCTTCACACGCAGCAGCCACACATACACCCGCACAGAACGCACGGAGATCAGCAAGACGCGCGGCGGAGAGACCAAGCGTGAGGTGCGGGTAGAGGAGTCCACCCAGGTTGGTGGAGACCCCTTCCCCGCGGTCTTCGGGGACTTCTTGGGCCGGGAGCGCCTGGGCTCCTTTGGCAGCATCACCCGGCAGCAGGAGGGTAAGCAGGGCCGTGCTGGGCCAGGGTCCTCACAGGGAGGCTGGGCCTTCTGTCCCCTGGGACAGGATGGGGAGGGCACGGGCAACTGGCCAGGGTGTTCTGGGAAGGGGAGGGGTCTTACTGAGGGAGGGAGGGAAGGTCCAAGGCTGGGGGCAGCCCCAGAGTCAGCCTAACCATCCCACCTCCTGCAGGGGAGGCCAGTTCCCAGGACATGACTGCACAGGTGACCAGCCCATCGGGCAAGATGGAAGCCGCAGAGATTGTCGAGGGAGAAGACAGCGCGTACAGTGTGCGTTTTGTGCCCCAGGAAATGGGGCCCCATACAGTCACCGTCAAGTACCGCGGCCAGCATGTACCTGGCAGTCCCTTTCAGTTCACTGTGGGGCCGCTGGGTGAAGGTGGTGCCCACAAAGTGCGGGCTGGAGGCACAGGACTGGAGCGAGGTGTGGCCGGTGTGCCAGGTGAGGGGCAGGTGTCCAGGAGAGGGGGTGGGGGCAGGGCAGCTGGCAGGATGGGCAATCGTGCTAAAGAACTGCCTCTGCCCTGCTTCCCTGTCCCCAGCTGAATTCAGCATTTGGACCCGAGAAGCTGGTGCTGGAGGCCTGTCTATTGCCGTGGAGGGTCCCAGCAAGGCGGAGATTTCATTTGAGGACCGAAAAGATGGCTCCTGTGGGGTCTCCTATGTTGTCCAGGAACCAGGTGGGTGTCCATGATGGAGGTGGGAGCTGGGCCTGCCTGACCTTCCAGACTGGGTTTCTGCTCGCTGACCAGAGCAGAGAGATGGGCTACAGAACTCCCGCTTCACCTGGGCCCCTGCTCCTTCTCTACCCCATCTTCCTCCACCCCACACCCCTGGGAGTGCGAGTCTGTCTCCAGACCTGAGCCCTGGCCCAAGGAGCCTGTCCTGATCAGCCTTCTCTTCCCAGGTGACTATGAGGTCTCCATCAAGTTCAATGATGAACACATACCAGATAGCCCTTTTGTGGTACCTGTGGCCTCCCTCTCAGATGATGCTCGCCGCCTCACTGTCACCAGCCTCCAGGTATCTGCTATGGGGTGGGGCCCCTCTGCCATCCTGAGAGATAGGCAGGAGGTGAAGGCAGGTCCATGTGTCCAGGGCTTAGTAGTGACCTTGGAAGAGACAGTCAGGCAGATGTCTCTCCCTCTTTCCCAGTATCCGTATAGCAGGGGGCGCCATGCCTCACCCCAGGATCATCTTCTCACACTCCCACCCCCATTGGCCTCCTTGTGCTTCTTCAAGTCCTCCCCAGTGACTCACCTCCTCCAGGGAGCCTCCCCAGGGCAGTCTAGGCCACACCCTTCCTCCTCTGGGCCTCTGGGCACTGACCTGCTTTATAGTGTTTGAATCTTAACTCTTTAGTCAGGACAGGATACATCATGTCATCCTCCACTGTGCCCAGCACAGCCAAGTGGGCCCACCTCCTAGCAGATGCCAAGGCCATAGGCCCAGCCCCTGCCTCCCCCTCCCCTCCCAAGGGAGCCTTGGTGAGAGCCTCCCTGAGCCGGGCCAGGCTGGGGTTGGGATCAGTGTCAGGCTGCAGACAGCAGTGCTCCAGACCCTCCCAGGATTCTGAGCACTGGCTGTGGCCTCTGCAGGAAACAGGGCTCAAGGTGAACCAGCCGGCGTCCTTTGCGGTGCAGCTGAATGGTGCTCGGGGTGTGATTGATGCAAGGGTGCACACGCCCTCGGGTGCGGTGGAGGAGTGCTACGTCTCTGAGCTGGACAGCGGTGAGCTGACCCTGGCCTTGCCCACCCATGCCAGGCCCTTCTGGGACGGGGAGGGGAAGAACAAAGGCTCACTCACCAACCCTCCGCCCCACAGACAAGCACACCATCCGCTTCATCCCCCACGAGAACGGCGTCCACTCTATTGATGTCAAGTTCAACGGTGCCCACATCCCTGGCAGTCCCTTCAAGATCCGCGTTGGGGAACAGAGCCAGGCTGGGGACCCAGGCTTGGTGTCAGCTTATGGTCCTGGACTTGAGGGAGGCACTACTGGTGAGTGCCTGGGGCTAGGGAGGAGGGTCCGATATTGGGGCACTCAGCTTCTGGTCCTGTACTGCCCTGTCCCAGAGGGCTGAGTCATTGCAGAGGTCTGTTCTCGGAGCCTAGGGCCCAACCTACCACCTTGCTACCTCTGGTCCCTAGGCGTGTCATCAGAGTTCATTGTCAACACCCTGAATGCGGGCTCAGGGGCCTTGTCTGTCACCATCGATGGCCCCTCCAAGGTGCAGCTGGACTGTCGGGAGTGTCCTGAGGGCCATGTTGTCACTTACACTCCCATGGCTCCTGGCAACTACCTCATTGCCATCAAGTACGGTGGCCCCCAGCACATCGTGGGCAGCCCCTTCAAGGCCAAAGTCACAGGTGAGTGCCCGGGGTGGGGGACATCCCTCCAGCCCAGCCTGCAGCCCAACCCAGCTTGGATGACTCCAGCAGCCATTCATATTCAGTCATAGTCTGACCTAATATCCACGGACAACTTACCAGGAATAAAGTGGGCTTGACCTTGCACAGCACACCATTCTGTGGAACCACGGAGAATCATTTTTGAAAATCAAGTCCTTCTTCTTTACTGTTGTCTGTCACGTGATTGATTTTTCCCTGCAGTGGCTCCCAAGCTTTAGCTTAACTTTCTTCGTATGTTTCTGGTTTCCTAAAACACAAAGCTCAGTAAACATTTAGCAAGCTTTACTTTTGGAAGCAGTGTGAAGGATCAGTTGGATATATGTTCCTTTTTAAAGCAAGACTCTTAACCCTGGGACTTGAGTTCCCAGACCGTGCCAGGGCTGGAGCCATCAGAGGCCCAGGGTCTCAGGATGTGTGCACAGCCGGGCTCACTAGGAATTCTGGGTGCCGCAGCGGGGAAGGGATGTGGCCCACAGGGCTGTTGGTGCTGGCTGAGGGCCTGCTGCCTCAGGAAGGCAGGCCTCTGACCCAGCTTGTGTTTACCCCACACTGTCCCTCAGGTCCCCGGCTGTCTGGAGGCCACAGCCTTCATGAAACATCCACAGTTCTGGTGGAGACCGTGACCAAATCCTCCTCAAGCCGTGGCTCCAGCTACAGCTCCATCCCCAAGTTCTCCTCGGATGCCAGCAAGGTGGTGACACGGGGCCCTGGGCTGTCCCAGGCCTTTGTGGGCCAGAAGAACTCCTTCACCGTGGACTGCAGCAAAGCAGGCATGCCAAGGGAGGAGAGGGTGGTTTCCTAGAGCGGGCAAGTGCACAAGAACATGGCAGGTGGGGGGCACCACGGGGCTGTGGGCCCCTGGTGTGAGCCAGCCCCTTCCGTCTCCCCCTCCAGGCACCAACATGATGATGGTGGGCGTGCATGGGCCCAAGACCCCCTGTGAGGAGGTGTACGTGAAGCACATGGGGAACCGGGTCTACAATGTCACCTACACCGTCAAGGAGAAAGGGGACTACATCCTCATTGTCAAGTGGGGCGACGAAAGTGTTCCCGGAAGCCCCTTCAAAGTCAACGTGCCCTGAATCCCTGAAGTGCCTCCCCCAGCCTCAGCCCCCACCTCCGGCCAATGCACTCACACACACACACACATACACACGTACCACACCTAGATGCACACGCACAGAATCAGATACCACAAACACCTGCCCTGGGGTGTGAAGTGAACGGCCTAGCCTCCCCACCCTGCCATGCCCCCAGGGGTTGGAGGGCTTTGTCTGTCTCAGGGCAGTGTTCCTCCCGTGAATGTGACACGAAGGTGGGCTGGGAGAGGGCTGAGGCCAGTGGGGAAGCATGTGTTTGGGGGTGTCTGCGTGTGTGAGAGAGGGCGCCCTCAAACCGCACTGCCGGCCAGACCACCTTGCTGCTAAGGACTGTGTCTGGCCCCTCTGGTGGCCACGACCCCAGAGTGTTAAGGACTTGGAAAAGAAAGCACAATCGGAGGAGAAAACAGACCCAGAACCAGCAGCAGCGCTGGCACGTGGCCTGGCCCACAGCGATTTATATCTGCCCCAGCCAGGCTTCCTGGAGGACTGCTTTCTTTCTCCCTCTCTCTTTTTTTTTTTTTTTTTTTTTTACGGTTGCACAGCTCTGCCCCATGGGGGGCCTTTTTTACACACTGCGAGGCCCAGCTTTCTGGGGAGACTTTTGCACATGTTCATGCGGCTCTGCTGGGAGTCGCGTAAGTGGAAAACTCCAAATAAAGTTTGGCCTGTCGCAGAGGCTTGGCTGTTCTTGTGCATGTGCTTTCTATGGGTGGCCACCATGTATTTGGTAAGGCCTGGGATCTTGGTGAAATACCTGAAAGAACCAAGGACTGGTTCTCAGACTCCTAGAGAGCTGGTGGGTGGGAGAGGGAGGTGAACACTGTGTTCTGGAAGACTGCCCTGTGACTACTGGCAGGCTTCCCTTTAGCCTGACCTCCGACTCTCAACAAATTAGGTCCTTAAAACAGCACAGACTCCAACAGGAATGTTCCTCACCCAGCAGGCAGGCAGAATCCCACGCAAACCCTGGAACGTTTAATCCAGCTAAGTCCAGGGTCAGATCTGGACCTGCTCTGGCCCCACCAGCAGTTCGGACCTTGCTCAGGACCCCAACCTAAACCAGCCCCTAACTAGTCACCCTAGCCTGATCTCTTTCCTTACCTTCCTGGCCCACAAACCTCTGAACTCATCTCCTAGGCCCACCACCTCTTCAGTTAGCTCCCCTGGCCTCTTAACTAGTCTCCCTGGTCCACCAGCTTATCTGTTCTCCCCCACCTGCAAACCTCTGAACTAGTCTCCCTGGCCCTCGGGCCACTGACAAGTCTTGAGGGCCCTTGCCTCTTCCCTTAGCCTCCTCTCTGACCCACCAGCCTCTTCTCATAGCCTCCCCAGCCACCAGCTTCTTACCTGGTCTCCCAGGCCCACAGCCTCCTCCCTTAGCCTCCTTAGTTCACAAGCCTCCTCCCTTAGCCCCCCTGGCCCACCAGCCTCTTAGTCTCCCTAACTGCCAGCCCCCTCACAAGTACCTTATTTGTAACTAGCCTTCTTGGCCCATCAGCATAGTCACTATTCTCCCTGGCCTACCAGCATCTTCACTAGCCTCCCTGGCCTGCAAACCTCTGAACTAGTCTCCGTGACCCATCAGCCTCTTAACCAGTCTCCATGGCCCACTGGCCTCTTCACTAGTATCTGTCCTACCAGCTCTTAGACTAGACTTTTTGGCCCATCAGCATCTAAACTAGTCTGTCTATCCCACCAGCCTCTTCACTTACCCACCAGGCTCTTCTCTTGGCTTCCCTGGCTACCACCTCTGAACTAGCCTTCTGGGCTCAACAGCCCCTTCCCTTAGACTCTCTGCTCTGCCAGCCTCTAAACTTAACTTCCCTGATTCACTGGCCTCTTAACTGGCCCCCCAGGTCCACCAGATTCTTCACTTGTCTCCATGGCCAAGCAATCTGTTCATTTACCCTCCCTGGCCCACCAGCCCCTTAACTAGTCTCCCTGTTCCACCAGTGCTTAAGTAGTTTCCCTGGCCCATTAGCCTTTTACTAGCTTCCCTGGCCTAAAAGTCACTTCACTTGGCCTCTCTGGTCACCAACCTCTGAACTAGTCTGGCCCTACAGCCTTGTCACTCAGCCTTCCTGGCCCACTAATCTCCCTGGACCACTAGCCTCTTAACTAGTCTCACTGGCCTGCCAGCCCCTCCCCTTAGCCATCCCGGCCCACCCTGCACACTGCAGCCTGAGAGGCTCACATTATAGGAATCTGCCCCTCTCTGGCTTGAGGCCAGTCCACAGCTCCCTCCTGTTCCAGGGTAACATCTACTCTTCTACCAAGGCCTTGGTAGAAGATTCACACACCAGCTTCCCCAACCCGTTCACGCAAGAAGTCCTGAGTCAGTGTGCCCTCTCCCCACCATACCCTCCGCTTCAAACTCTCACAGCTTCTAGCTTCCTGGGCACCCATGAGGCAGTCTGGGCCAGTGCCTGGCAACACCCTTGCCTCTCCACTCTCCTCATCTTCCTGGCCCCTCTCTGCCCCTCCTGGATTTGCCCCCCAGCTCCCAAACCATCTCAGGGGGACATCTATGCCTGTGTTATCACACTGATCTGTGACCTTGTGTCTACAGACCCTCTTCCCCACGAGCCTGGGCTCCCTGACCCTGGAAGGTCTAATACAGACAGATGTGACAAATGAGTAACTCAGTAGCTAGAGCAGAGCAAAGAAGCATTTCACTCAATTGATCCCTCACCTCTAGACCTGTCCTGGACATTTCAGCACACAGTGGTGGCCCAGCTCGAACTACCCTCCTCGCCTCTCTACTCGGTAGCCTATGTGCCTCCTTGCTCCTTTTCAAGTTTCTTCTTTCCTTTCCTCCTCCTTGCTCTGAATCCTGCCCCCTTAAGGCCCCTCCAGGGCCTCTTTATTTTTTTAAATTTCTTTCTTTCGAGAGAGCAAGTGAACGAGCATGCAGGAGGGGCAGAGAGAAAGGGGGAGAGAGAGAGAGAATCCTAAGCAGGCTCCGCACCACCAGTGCAGAGCCTGACATGGGGCTCTAACCCACGAACCGCTAGACCATGACTTGAGTGAGACACTTAACTGGCTGAGCCACCCAGGTGCCCCACCAGGGCCTCTCTTTATTGTATGTCTGACCTCCTCCCCGTGATATTTTTTTCACCCTCCCCTCCATCCTGCAGGGAGCTCCTTGAGAACAGAAATCATACTTTATCTTGCGTCCTCAGCCTCTTCAGGGCCACATGTGATAAACGCTGGTTGAATGATAAATGTACCCAGCTCCTCACTTCACCTGTTATAACCACTAAAGGCAGGATCCATTCTCTTAAGTACCCTGCCATCTGTGACCATTGTGGGCCAGTTCTGTGCCAGGCACTAAATCGGGTGGTTCTGCACCCACCCTTCCTCATTCTCTGCCCTCCCTCCCCACTAACTCCAGATGTGAGCACTTTCCCAGATGGCCTGCTGGCCTCCTCAGCATCAGCTGCCTTCCACCTGTGTGTCTACAGACATCCAGCTGCTCTTCCCCAACCACAGTGTGGCCCTGGGTGCTGAACATTTAAGGGCTCTATCTCACTTAATCCCAACAGCCCTATCAGGTGGGCATAATATTATCTGAAGAACTCAAGGCCTTGAAAATTTTGCTGATAAACCCAAAAATCATGCCTCTAAATAGTGGGGCCAAGATTCAAACCAGGTGTGCCCAAATCCCAAGCCAATCATACAAATAACCACTAGATGAGACCATCTGGAGGTTTCAAGCACTCTAAACTCACAAACCACATGCTGAACACCAGGATGCCTGTTTGTTAAAATGGAGGAGGAAAGCTGGACCTTTCTCTTTCAGTCTGTATTTCACAGAGCTTACTCTCTCAGGAATGTTACTGCCATCCACCCAGTTGCAATGGCCAGAAAGCCAGGGGTCACCTGGGTCTCTCACTCCCCAAACACATCCAATCTGAAAACCAGTTTTGCCCATTCTGTCTCTAAATAAGTATCTCTTGACTCCATCTCCACATTCCCATTATCACAGCCTGAGTTCTGGCCACCATTATCTCTTACCACAGTGATATCCTCCTGCAGTCTTGCCTCTGCACACAACACCGGGACAGCACTAGCTCTAGAACACCTGCCTCAGGACACCATTTTCCAGTGGCTTCAGGATAATTTGTCCTCAGGATAACTTCCAGATTCTTTAACTCTTCTTGAGGGCACTCGTGCTCTCTAGTCACTAAGCCTTTGCATATGCTGTTCCTCTTACCTAGAACACTCTCTTGTCCTTATTTCTATCCCCTGCATCCTTCTGGCGACCTTCTTTGAGCACCCTTCCCCCACCCCTCTGTGGGTTAGTTACACCTTCAGTGGATGCTTCCGTGTACTTCTCATATTTTAGCATTAACCAACCGCTTTGTAACTGCCTGTTCACCTGAAACCCTACCTCCCTAGTCAGTGTCACCATTAACTTGTTCAATCTTTTATCTAAGCAAATATGTACTGGTCGTTAACTGTGTGCCATAGTTAAAGACTTACGTGCACGGTTCAGGCTCGGACCTTACCCTCGAGAACAGAAACTACGTGTTTTCTTCTGAGGTCTCAGGGTCTAACAGCGCTAGGTTCAACAGGTTTACTGAACGAGCGATGGAACGCGCCTGCGTGAGTCCGTGGTGCCGCACGTCCTTCTGGGACTCGTAGTCCCCAGGTTCCGGCCTCTCTTTACGGCGCAGGCGTATTCAGATTGAGGCCGTGTTTTCTATTAATACGCATGTCCCGGAGGCGGAGTGGTGAACTGCGCATGTCTAAAGGGTGGAGGTGCGCTTGAAAAGGCGGCGCACTGCGGGGGTGGGGCTTCGGGGACTTCAGGCCGTCTCTACTGAGCTCTACCTGTCTGTGAGAATGGCGGGTAGGGGGAAGCTAATTGCGGTGATCGGAGACGAGGACACAGTTACTGGCTTCCTCCTGGGCGGCATAGGGGAGCTTAACAAGAACCGCCACCCTAATTTCCTGGTGGTGGAGAAGGATACAACCATCAATGAGATCGAAGACACTTTCCGGTACGGTAGCCCGTGAGGCCTGAATGGGTCCCTCTGCTTCGGGTCGGAGCGAGGGGAATAGGTGGGGGCAGCTCGGAGACCCGGCAGTCGGGGCCTGAGAGGGGCTTCCAGACCCTGCCCTCGAGGGTCAGGGAAGTCGGTCCGGCCGCCCTTCCGGGGGAGGCCTCTGTGCCCCAAGTTCTCTTTCTGCACTCCGGGGGACTCGGGTTATGTCAGGTCCACGAGCTCATCCCTCATATGACTGTGTGTCAGGAAAGAAGGGGAACAGAGCTCGTGACAGGCGCCGCCCCTCGGCCCAACCGGCCCCTGGGACCTGCCTCAGCTCTTTTGGGAGTTGACCCCTAAAGGAACCACACACTGAGCGAACACCTAGGCAGTGGGGTCGGGGTTTCTTGTATTTTCATGCCCTTCAGAGGCTCACAATCATCCTGTAAGGTAGGGGTTATTATTCCCACGTACAAGTGGGAAAACTAAAGCTCAGAGAGGTTAAGGCACATTCCAGAGTCACACCATTTGGAAGAGAGGGAGTGGAGATTTGAACCCTAGGCCCAACTCTCTTAAGCCAGGTCCACACTCTTCAGTCTTGGAATTTCCCATTGTCCTGAGCATAGCCTGCAGAATATTAGGACTGTATCCTACTTTGTGCTAAGACCTTGCCTTTTTTTTTTTTTTTTAATCAAAAGAAGAAAAACTTCATGTGTGTATGGCATGATCAGTACAGAGAATATAAGAATCTTTTCCCCTCCCCGACTTGCACTCTCTCTCTCTCTCTCTCTCTCAAAAATAAATGAAATTAAAAAAAAAAGGGGGGGGGGTTTGTGCCTGGGTGGCTTAGTCAATTGAGCGTCCGACTTCGGCTCAGGTCATGATCTCCCGGTTCGTGTGTTCGAGCCCCACATGGAGCTCTGTGCTGACAGTTCAGAGTCTGGAGCCTGCTTCAGATTTTGTGTTTCCCTCGCTCTCTGCCCTTCCCCGACTTGTTCGTTTTCTCTCTCTCTCTCTCTCTCTCTCTCTCTCTCTCCCTCTCAAAAATGAAATTAAAAAAAAAACTGTTTTTAAAGAATCTTTTTAAAAAGCCACCAGAATAAGTGAATTTAGCAAAAAGACCTTGCATTTGAAGTCCTCATTTCCTACTCTGGGTCAAGAGTGATAGCTTCATAGTGTGGATGTGGGCATGTCCCTTAACTCAGGAGGTGTCCTGGTGACTTGAAACGAGGATGCCAGCCCCCCGTGCTTTCTCACCCCTTCTCTAAGGCCCCTGTTGCCAAGTCTTAGGAACAAACCACTCTCACCTGTTTTCCCCTAAACAGTCCAGCCTTGAGCTGCTGGCTGAGACTGGATCCTGCTGCCTGGGGATGATAGGCCCTGAACTGGCCCGATCTCTAAGCATTCTGGTAAAGTGACCCAAGTTGTCATAGGAGAAGGACAGATTTTACTCCAAGACCATTCCATGTTTCCATCCAAAGGGACCCAGAGATCAGTCATCAAGTCTAACTGGCCCTTGTGTCTGGCACAGGGCAAGTGCTCAGCAAAAATAGTTTTATATATAGATATATATTTTTTTAATGTTTATTTATTTTGAGAGAGAGGGAGCTCAGTGTGTGAGCAGGGGAGGGAGGGAGGGAGACAGAGAGAGAGAGAGAGAGAGAGAGAGAGAGAGAGAGGATCCCAAGCAGGCCCTGCAGTGTCAGCACAGAGCACAACACAGGGCTCCATCCCACAAACTGTGAGATCATGACCTGAACTGAAACCAAGAATCGGTTGCTTAACTGACTAAGCTATCCAGGCGCCCCAGTCGTTTTTAATATATTAATGCCTGGGTGATTACAAGAAAGGAAGATCCCAGTGCTAGGTCCTCTCTGTGGGGAAAGGATGATTTTCCTCTTCCTATGTTGTATTCTTAGCTCATGCCAAACTTCAGCATAGACCTTAAGGCCTTTAGTGGTCTCATCAGCCCCTTTAAAGAAATTGTTTTCCTTTGAAAAGTTAAGGTATTCGTGTGGTTTGCAAATTAATATTTCAAAGGTATACATATTGAGAAGTCTCACTCCTACCCCCATCTATTTCCACTTCCTTACCTCCCTTCTCTGCCCCTGGAAGCACTTAATTCCTTATCTTCCTGCTTTTTTAAATGTACATACTATGGACAGACATATACTTATCCTCTCTCTTTTCCCACAAACGCAGCGTACAGGTCACATCAGCCTGTGCCCTAATCTTCAGCACCAGCTCACTTGGGAGCCTTCCAAGCAGGGGAGGTGGAAGTTACCCCTGACAGCCAGGGCCCCTAGATTTTGAGTGAAGTTGGTTCTGGTTAGAATGGAGAGAGTTCGGTCTAGCAACCTTTGCCCTTGGCCTCTGCACTCGCTGGGTCAAGCACATTTGCCTCCGCCACCCGGCCTCACCACCTCGGAGTGGGCTCCCTTCTCATTTCTCCCAACAGGCAGTTTCTAAACCGGGATGACATCGGCATTATCCTCATCAACCAGTACATCGCAGAGATGGTGCGGCACGCGCTCGACGCCCACCAGCGCTCCATCCCAGCCGTCCTGGAGATCCCGTCCAAGGAGCACCCCTATGATGCCGCCAAGGACTCCATCCTGCGCCGGGCCCGGGGCATGTTCACAGCCGAAGACCTGCGCTAGGGCCCTCCCTACAGCCAGGCAGCTCCTCCCCAGGCTTGCCCTCAGTCCTTCTGTGAGTTTTGAGCCTCTGATTTCCAATTCCCGTGCCCCTGCCCACTCCATTAAGAGGCTAGGTGAGCTGCTTCCAGGTTGCTGGGGCTCTGCCATTAAAGCCAAGGCTGGTTAGGGAACAGGAAGCCTGAGTGTCTTCTCTCCACCACCTCTTCCCTGTGCTGTTACACGGTGTCATTGTTGATGTTAAATTAAAGTAACGTTATTGTTTCTCTCCAAACTGAGGCTGGGTGCTAGAAAGGACACGCGTGGGATGAGGCTGTTGGGGAGATTCGACTGGCAGGGCTGGAAAAGCTTCTGCCAAAGATATAGGCATAGAAGAGTTGCACCAGGAAGATTGTCCCAGGAGGTCGTAACTCAGGGATGGGTCCTCTGAATCAAGTGACCAGCTCTGGTGGGGAGGAGCGGGAGGAGGCTTGTGTCCAGGCCTCTGGCTCCCCCACTTCAGTCTCTATTGGGCTGGGAGGGGACCTGACCCCAAGGGGCTGGAAGCAGAAACACAGGAAACCTAAAGGCCTGTGATACGAGACTGAGCCCGGATCCCGCAAGAGGTTTGGATATCCAGGCCTTTCTCCGGCGGGCCCTGGCCTGAGGCTGCCTGTGGATCAAGGTCTGCTTGTGGTCTGCTAAGGGCATGGCAAATAGAACCCTGGCCCTATGTGAGGTGAGGCCTGGTTGCCGGGTGACTGTCCGTGGCAGCCACCTGCTGTCCGAAGGACTCTGCCTCCTGTGTTCACCCCTCAGCTGCAGCCACCCTGCTACCTCTCCTGCCCTTGCTACCATGTCGCGGCAACTCAACATGGATACGCTGCGGCAGAACTTCTGGAAGGAGGAATATCTGAGGGAGAAGATGTTTCGCTGTGAATGGCACCGCAAGTACGGGTCGACGGTGAAGGCCAAGCAGAAGGCTAAGGCTGCAGCCCGCCTACCCCTCGCGCTGCCCACCCTGCACCCCAAAGCCCCACTCTCGCCCCCACCTGCCCCCAAAGCGGTGCCTTCCAAGACCCCCGGCCCTCCCCTGGAGACGCCCATTCAGTCCGAAATGTATCCGGTACTGCCTGCCACCCGGGCCCTGCTGTACGAAGGCATCTCCCACGACTTCCAGGGGCGCTACCGCTACCTCAACACCCGAAAACTGGACATGCCAGAGATGCGCTACCTCTTCCCCATCACCACCAACTTCATATACGGCTGGCAGCTGGGTGAGCCCCAACCTCCCAGAGAATATTCACTTCACAAACACGGAGCTCCTGCCATGAGCCAAGCCATGCTGTCGGCCCTAGGCACACAAGACACACGGATGGGGGTGTCCATTCTCGCGGGGGGTCCAGGCCGTAAACATAAGACAAAGGAAACATCTGAGAAGGACAGGTTCCATGACGAGACTAGGGAGTGATGGGAGAGAGGGGCAGGGGGCATGAGACGTTTTAGATGGGTCTCGGAGGACCGACCTAAGGGCTGGAAGCTAAGTGACACAATGGAGGAACCCAAGTGGGAGAGGAAACCGTGGAGAGTTTTAAGCAGGTGAATGGTACTGATAGGATACTAACTGTTCTGTAAGTAATGACTTTTTCAGAGACAGAATCCACGCTGGCAGATGAGGTCTGCATCTATTTTGAGTTATCCTGGCAGGGAGGATAATGGCTTGGGCTAGGGTGATTAGCAGTAGAGCTGAGGTAGATTCAGGCTATGTTTTGGAGGAAGAATCCCTGAAGCCTACTGATGGATTGAATGACAGAAGGAGAAAGAAAGCCATGGCGAAGCGCAGGTGTTTGGCTCAAGCAGCTGGACAGGGAAGACAGAGGAGCAGGGCTGGAGGGGGTGTGAAGACAGATCAGCCCCGGCCATGCTGGAGGTGCCAATGCAGTGGCTGTGTACGGAAGTCCCCCCTCCGGAGTGAGGTCGCAGCCGCCGCGCCCACCGGGGCCCCCCCCCCCCCAGCAGAATATAGGTGCTATTTAAAGCCTGAGGTGGGACAAGCTCCTCCAGGGATCTCCAGATGCTGGAATCTGACAGGAGAGGCCAGGGGCACAGAGAAGGGTAGGGGAGACGGTTTTGGTGGGAAGGCTATCCATCTGGACTGAGTCTGCTTTTTCTGGGAGGCTTTTTCTCATCAGGGAAGAGAGTGGGGAGACAGCGGTGTAGTGGGAGATGAAGTTATGGCATGGGAAAGGGACTACACCGGGGAGTGTTGCAGGATTGCTGGGTGACGCCGCGTCCGTCCCTTTGCTATTTGTGGTCATGAATTTCAACTGAGACTACAAAGTCATGGGTTTTTCTCCACAGGCTTGAATGCCATCCACAGGTAGATGGTTGGGATAAACACAGTTGACGTTTTGCCTAAAAAATTCCCCCCACTTTCCCCAGGGTGCTAAAGGGAGAGGAAAGAGTTTTCCAACAAAAGCAGGAAGCAAGTCCCAGGGGAACAGGAGGTAGGAGGAAGCCCTGTCTCTCCCAGAGACGTTTAGCTCTGTCCCAGTGACCAGCAGTGCTGGGTGTCCCACCACCCACTCTGCAGAGGACCCCGGGGTGGGGGAAATAAGGGCACATGGCTGACTGGCTGGTTCTGCCCTCTCTGCTGATCTGGGCACCCAGCCAGCTCCTTCCTTTGCCCACAGCTCCCATTCCTCAGAAGCACTTTTCATTCCTTCACAAAGGATACAAAGTGGATACAATACAGGCAGATTCCTAGGGCTAGGAAGGCAGGGCCCCCATGCTCTGGCCAAGTTCCCTTTCCCAGGACCCATCATTCCTGGCCTCTGACATTTTTTCCCAGGCCCCCCGGTGAAGCAAGAACTGGTCTCCTGTAAGATGTGCCGCATCGAATCATTCTTCCGAAAGAATGGGGCCTTCGCACTGCTTGACCCCCGGGACCTGGCTCTCTGACCTTGGCCGGGCAGTGGAGTTAGGGGAGGGAAGACGAAATAACACGCCTTCTAGTGGGACTGAGCTGCTGTGTGTGTGTTTCTGGCCCTCCCAGGCCCCGAGGCAGCGTTCGGGGCCTTTCTTGGAACTCCCTCTAACCTGCACTTGCTTTTTCTTTAATCCCCATCTCTTTAATCATCCCTTTGAGGATTCAGCAATGACTAGATGGGGCTGCGAAGGGCGAGGGCTCCTCTCCTGGCAAAGGGTCCTCAGTGCGAGGCCACAGTAGCTGCTGGAAGTTCTGGGTGTTCCTGAAAGAGAGTGGCCGGTTATTCCAGATGTCCGAGAAAGAGAACCATCTCGCTCGCTCTCGCTCTCGCTCTCCCTCTCTCTTTCTCTCGAGGAAGATCGCCCCATAAGCCTCCCCATCCTCCCCCTCACCTGGCCCCGAGGGCCCGCAGCCGCCGGGTCCTCTCCCGATGCACTTGTTGCAGCTGCTGCCGCAGGGCTCGCCGCTGCCCCGCCGCGTCCTCCTGGGGCGGTGCAGAGCGCTGAGCGCCCCGGCCTCGGACCCCGCGGGCTTGATGGAGCCAGCAGGGGGCAGCACCCGGACTGACGCCCCCCCTCCCGCCCTCTGTCGGGGTCAGTGCAAGTGTGCACTCCAAAGGCATCCAGGAGGCGCGCCCAGCTCGGACCCAGCCCTCCCCTCCCCCATCCCCGCGTTCCCCCCGCCCTGGCCCAGATAGTGGTGACGCCACCGCCTTCTGGGAGCCTTGCCTGTGGCTGGAGCTGAGCTGGGCTGGGTGGGGGCCCCAGAGGGTGCACCCGGCAGTGGCGGTTCCTGGCGATGCGGAGGCATTCCAAGACCTGGGGGGGAAGGGGGGGGGAGACGGCTGTCAGCGGCCGGCCGGCCGGTCCTCGGCGGGCCCCGCCTGCCTCAAGCCGGCAGGCAGGTGCGGATACGCACCCGGAGCCGCTGCTGCTCGCGATCCTGCCGCCGCCGGCGCCTGGCCGCGCGGTGCAGCTCCAGCAGCCGCTGCAGAGCGGTCTCCTGCTGCACCGCGCTCACACCCGCCGACGCCTTCTCCCTGCCCGGGGGCCAGGGCCACGCGGCCTTCGAGGCCTCGGGGGCCTCCGCGTCGCCCCTCGGCTCCCCGCCGGCGCCCGGCACTTGCTCCGCCGGGCCTGGGCTTCCTTCCCGGTCCTGAAGCCCGTGCGGGTCGGGCACCAGCCCTGGGTGCCCCCGGGGAGCTGCGGGGCGCTCCTGCTGCCCCGAGCTCCCAGGGCTTGGGGCCTCTAGCGTCTCGGCCCCTGGGCTTGGGAGCAGCGGCCGGGTCGGGGGCCTCGGGGGTGGAAGGGGAGTCCGTACCCGCTCCCCGGAGGCCCTCTGCTCTCCCGCGCCCGGTGCTGACTCTCGCCGCTGGGCGGCCCTTTCCCCGGAGCCAGGGCTCTCCCTACCCCTTTGCTGTGGCATCTGTTCTCCCAGGGACCTACAGAGAACCCTAGAAATTCCCAGGGAGCCGCCTTCCTCCGGGGGTTGTGTAGGCACCTCTCCCTCAGCCACCTCCCGGTTAGGGCCTGGGGAAGTCTGAAGGGTCTTCATTTCCGGGTCTTGTGGCTCCTGGAGAGCCTCCGTTCTCTGACACTTAGGGCTATTTCCTCTTTGACCTTGAGGAGACTCTCTCCTCTCACTCTGGGGAGCCTCACACCTGGGATACTCAGAGACCTCCTCCCTCAGAGCCTGAGTGGCCTCCGCACTCTGACCCTGGTGTGTCTTCTCTCTGTGTCTGGAAGGAACTTCTTTGCTCTCCCCCCGGGGGGCTTCCCCTCTCTGACCCTGGGGGCTCTCTTCTTTCTGCTCCTGAGGGTCCCCCTCTCTCTGCCTCTGAGGAATCTCGATCCTCAGCAGCTTCTGAAGTTCTGCTCTCTCCCGGCCCAGGCTCCAGCCCAGCCCCTCCAGGGGAACCTGGGGTTCTGGCAAGCCCCGGGAGGGCAGGCCCCAGAGCCTTGGGGCTCCCTGAGTGAGCTTGCGACCGCCTACATTCACGGATGGCTGTTGACAGGGCCTCTGGGTTGTGGGTCCTGCTTGTCTCCTCTCTGCCCTCTGGGCCAGGTTCTGGGAAGCAAGAGCATTTGGGCCCAGGCTTGTGAGGGAATCCCCGTGCCAGGCCCACTTCCCCCAAGGGACCCTGGAGACCTCAGTGGCTGTCCTAGTGGGCCTCACTTCCATTACAGCCCTCGCCTGATTCCTGAATTCATTAAACTTATTTTATGTTGTGTAAAAGGTACTTCAGTGGCGGTCCCTTCTTCCCCCTGGCTATAGGAGGTAGGACCACCTCCCCCCAGTAGGCTCCTCCCAGGCAGACCCCACCCCTGCTCTTCCCAATCCGAGAGGGCCCTTGCCCAGGGCACTTTGACTCTTTCACCTTGAACTCAGAACTTCCTGGGTCCCCAAAGCTGGTGGTGGGGTTCAGCTCTTGTAGGCAGCCTGAGGGAGAAAGACCAATGTCGGGAGCCCTCTGCTCATGCCCCAGCCCCTCACAGACATTCCACCTGAGCTGGAACCAGGAAGCCTAGGGAGTCGCCAGCACGCGAGAGAAGGGGATGCCCTGAGGACTGATGTTTGAACTCCAAGGCTATGACAGTTCATGGGTCCACTAGTCTTCACGTTGCCTGTCATGTGCCTGCTTGTCGGAGTTGCCTGCCAGCAGCCGACCACATCTTCCTCATCCTCCCAGCTGAGGCAGGACACCTTAGAAGAATCTGCACACCCCTGTCCCCAAAACCACCAGAGGATGCTTCGGGGCAGGAAGGGTCTGTTGGCCAGCTTGTCAGGCCCTCATAAGAACACCCCCTTCATCCCGGTGGGCCCGCGTAGGCCCATAAAGAAACCTACTGTATATGCCTTATTTGACTATTATTAAGAAAAACCCTCTGTAGCTCTTTCTTGGTTGCTGACAGTGAAATCAAATGAAACTCAAGAAATGAAATTTTAGGCTGGAGCCTGGCCTAAAAACTGCAAGTTTCATAATTAACAAAAGACATCTAAAAAAAGAAATGAAATGTCACTGCTCCCTTGCAGCTGTGGAGGAAGGAGAGTCATCCTGCCTCCATAAAAGTAGTTAAAAGAACTTGATTTCGTAAGGTCCTAAATGGAGAACTTTCACAAGTCTATTCCATCTTTATGAATATTCACACATCCACATTGCATAACAGTAACCAAATGGGCATGTTCTCTGTCAAAAGAAATGTCTTTTGAAGAATTTTTGAGCAGAGGAGTCTGTGACCAGGCTCCCAAGCCTGCAGAAATCATTGCCATGAACAGGGAACATAACCCCCAAAACCTGTCCCCTCACAGTTTGATTTGTTGTCTTACTTGACAGTTTATTTCTCTGGTTATAATGTTGTCATTGGTATCTCTGTTTCCTCAAGAGACCCTCTATTTGTAAAACTTTCCGTCAGTCAGAAAAACAAGCATTGGCACTTTGCTCTTCTCTCGCACACGACGGAACAATTAAAGGCTTATGGCTACACTAGGCTAATTTAACAAATAACTGGAGAGTCTGTTCCATTTAAATTAATAGGCCCAGGGTTCACAGCGTCCATCTCATAGAATTCGAACTGCCTGTTTACTGTCATGCTCTCGCTAGGCTGTGATCTCCTCAGTGACAGGGACCAAGCAATGGGGCCGAGTCTCTCTTGTGCTCTGTATGTTCTGGGTGTCTGATGCGAGGGTAGGACACAGGGGCAGGAGCTGCTGTTCTGCTCCCCCCTCCCTAGGCCGCCGTGAACAGTCCTTCCCAGCGCGCTCGGGCCCCCCCCCCCCCAGTTTAGCTTCAGAATCCTTCTGGACCCTGTGCCTGGGACAGCTGCTACCAACCAGGTGGAACTAGGACATAAAATAAAACCTGCTTGTTGTCCCTGGGTGCTCCTGGCACCCAATATAAAGTATGAGACAAAGAATGAGTGAGGAAGGGACTGGAATCCTGGCACTTGGGGTGAGGACTTCCCACCTCCTCCAGCTCTAGTCTGGCCGCCCGGCCAAGGTGTCCGCGTACCAGGTGTGGACTCTGCAGGCAGAGCAGGGCTCGCCCGCCTTGGGTCTCTGTGACTCCCAGCTTCACCCAGATCCAGGGCTGATGATGGGACTACCGCCAGCCCCCTGCAGGAGTACAGAGGCTGTTTCAGATACACCTCCCACGGCCCATGGGCTCTGGAAGGGGGAGGAAGCCTGTCTGCCACCCCAGTGCAGGGCAGCCTCTCCTAGCCCCTGCACCCACCACTGGATCCCAGCAGCTGGAACTCGGGGTCACCCTTTCCAGGGGCTGTGGGGGCCCCAGGATGAGCCTTGGGCACAAGAAAGAGATGCTAGGCAGGGCCGTGGAAGGAGATAGGAAAAAGGGTCCAGTGCTTGGCCCTTTTGTGTGGCAACACGAAACAAACAGGATTTCCCAAGAGAAAGACTCACCCCTCAGGAAGCTGATGGTTCTGGCTCAGGGAGTCCCCAGCCTGAGGCAATGGGCATGGCCTGGAACTCTGGAAAGTTTGGAGGGTGCCCTAGTCCACAGGGCATCATTCCCCGGTGTGGTAGGCAGCCTTTAAGGTGGCCCCCAATGATCCCTCCTCCTGGTATCCAGGCCCATGTATGACCCTGTCCTCTTCCCCTCCTTGTGAGGAAATGGAGCTCTCCTGCCCACTCGAGCCTTCAGATGAGACCGCAGTCGTGACCAACAATGTCAGCTGGACACTTCCTTAGCAGTCACCATGAACACCCCCTCTTGCTACAGCTGAGGATGCCTTGGCTCTCAGAGATGGCCGTCAACTTGCCCAGAGTGCCTTGGACAACTGGTGACTGGGAATCAGACTAGGAGGCACGGTCCTAGTTCCCAGTCACCATAGCACCCTCCCTCCTAGACGGCTCAGCCCAGGCACCAGCCCTGAAGGGAAAGGTCCGTGCACCCCGGGCTAGGCATCAGTGCCTCTGCCCTCGGGAGCCATGCCAGGCTTGCGTTCCTCCCACGCTGCAGCCGTGTCTAAAGGCTTCTAGGGGTGCCTGGGTGGCTCAGTCAGTTAAGTGTCCAACTTCGACTCAGGTCATGATCTCACAGTTTGTGAGTTCAAGTCCCGCATCAGGCTCTGTGCTGACAGCTCAGAGCCTGGAGCCTGCTTCAGAATCTGTGTCTCCCTCTCTCTCTCTCTCTGCCTCTCCCCTACTCACACTCTGTCTGTCTGTCTCTCTCTCTCAAAAATAAATAGACATTAAAAAAATTAAAAAAACAAAGCTTCTAGATGTCACCATGCAGTTGATTTGATGCAGATAGTTGTTAATTGCAGCATGATAATAGCCTGTATGTAGTTAACAGGTCCTGGGTGCCACTAAACCCTTTCCATGGATGAGTTCACTGGTGCTCCCTCTGAATAAGATCTACTATCGTCCCCATTTTGCAGCTAAGAAAACAGAGGCTTACAGTCCACGGGGAGCGTCAAAACAGAGACCCAACCCAGGTCCATATGTGCCCAAAGCCCACACCCCATTCACCTTCCTCCCCACCACAATCACCCTGATGTCACACTGACCCCCTTGCCTTCAGCCATGCCCCTGCTCACCCAGCTGTTCGGCTGCTCGGGGCCCCTACCCATCCTACCACGGGGCTTGCTGCGCTGGCTCCATGCACACTGGGCCGGGTCCCTCAGACCGCAGAACTGGGCCCGGGGGGGCCAGAAGAGGCCCAGCCCCGCCCCAGTCAGCAGCTCCAAGTCCCACAGGAGCTACAAAAAGACGCATTGCCAGAGCATGAAGGGGTGCCCACACTGCCCTCTGCCATGCCCCTCGGCCAGCCCCTACCTGTTCCTGGGCCCGCCGGCTCCGCTCCATCTCCAGCAACACAGTGGGCAGCTCCAGTCCCGAGGGACAGGCCCGACTCTCTTGCACCTGGGGGGACAAGATGGCATCAGGCCTCCACCGTGCCCTTTGCAGACAATGCCCCACCTCCCTCACCTGCTGCAGCGCAGCCTGGAGTGGGCCCAGGCCCGCAGGGCATCTAAAGAGGTGCTGGTACAGAGCTAAGGCCTGCTTTTGGCTACAAGGGAGCCCTCGGCCTCCAGGGGCGGCTGCCTGTTCCATGGGGTTGGGGAGCCAGGGCAGATGTCCCCTCCCTCCTCTCCTCTGCTGCTGGAGCGTGGAGAAGGGAGGACCAGGAATGAGGAGGAGACAAAGGCTCCTGAGCTCAATAATGCAGGGACCTGACATCTGAGCCAGGGCCCGGACCCAGCCAAGTCTCACAGAGACTCTGGCCCACCTCCGATATGGGTTTCCTGGCTGTGAGGGATGGCAGTGTGAGGGAGAGGTGTCTGCATATGCTTGTTTGCAATCCTGACCGGGTACGTGTTTTACGTATACATGTGAAGCTTGCAACTGCATTATATCCACACGTAATTTGCCCAATACGAACAGTGGCTACCAACAGCTTACTATCTGCAGGAAACAAAATGCTACATACAAGTAATCCGTCCTTGAAGCAACTCCGAGAAGTAGGTGCTATCGTTATCCCAATTTTACAGATTAGAAAACAGCCTAGACAGTAAACTGCCCTAGCTAACATGTGGCAACGTCCCCCTCATCTGGAGGCAAATGGCCGTGATAAACAGGCTTGGGGGAAACATGGTCCCAGGCGCAAGCAGCCACGGGCCGGGCGACGGTGAGCACTTCCCAAGGGCTTGTTCCAAGCTGTCCACGTGCAAAGTGCTGGCCACAGGTCACTCTGTTTACTCCTCACAACACGCGAGATGCATCAGGCGAGGACACGGTTTGTACAGGTCATAACGAGGGGAGGTGCAAACACACGAGCTGGTCTGTGACGTTCACACGCTGTGCTGTCACGAGCAGCCTTGCGTGCCTGCTGCTTTGAAACGGCTCTGCGAGAGAAAGAGGCCACCTCTCTCCGGTGGGCCTCAGCAGAAGCGGGCTAAGCTCACAGGGCAGGCCATCTCAGTTTAGCCCAACACTCTCTCTTCACTCCTGTTGAAAGATTAGGGGGACCTGGCAATGAGAATGGAGGACCCCCCCACCCCGATCTTTTAGCCAAGGTTCCTAAAACACCAAGGTCACAGCCAAAAAAACTAGAGTTCTTTTTGAAGACAGACTTTTCAAGGAAATAGACTTTTTGTCTATTTCAAAACCCATGCTCCTTCCCCTGCAAGGATGTCTCCTGCTCACATGTCCATCCAGGGTGGGTGTGGCTGTGAATGCACACATGGGCCCATGCATGTGCCGCACATGTTTATCTGGGTTTCTGAGGTGTGTGTGTGTGTGTGTGTGTGTGTGTGTGTGTGTGTGCGTGCACGTGTGTCCATATTTCATCACAGTCTGTTGTGTCTTCTGTTCCCCACCCCAGGCATGGGGTCCCTATGTCACCAGCTGTTAGAGTAGCCCAGGAGGTGCCTAGCCTTTGGTATTCCCCAAATCAAGAGGAAAGGGAATGCCATGTAGGGAAACTGAGCCCCTTCTCCGTGCCCCTCAGCCTCCTAACAGGATTCCACATGGATCCACAGAGGTACCAATGTGGGGACCATGGGCTATGCTTGTGACATAGTGTGAGCACGGAGCTGGGATCAGGATACCTAGATCCTCCTTCCATTGCAGGGTTTCCCAGGCAACACCAGGGTATGGTAAGTGCAAGAAGTGAAGGCTCAGCTCCCACAGCTGCCACCTCTCTGATCCTGGGGACACTAACCGCTGCTGTACCCCATATTCCAAGCCCCCACCATCCCAGCACCAGGAGAAAAGACACATAGACACAAGTAAGCTGTAGGAGAGGCCCCGATTTTACTGCTTCTGATTGAACATGATGAGGTCTTTGTGGGACACAGGACCCCAGTGCCTGGGTGGGGTACTCTTTCCATGGCTCTGGCCAGGGTGAGAGCTGTTCTCAGAGGAGAGGCTTCTGACCTGATGAGTCCTGGTGTCCTGGCTACTGGCCAGGGCTGGGCGGAGGCCTGGGTGGCTGGTCCCCAGTGAGCTGGACTGGGGGGCAGGCCTCGGGTGAGATACAGTGGGCCTCGTGCTCCACCAGGCCCGCGGGGCACTGGCAGCCAGGAACGCAGGGCCTCACACAGTGGGCAGCCAGTTCCCCCAGGGGGATGTGCTGGTTGAAGCAGGTGCGGGGACAGGGCGGGCCACACTCATCGAACACGAAGCCGCGGTCCAGGGGACAGCCCACCACTGCAGGTGGAGTGGAAGGCAGGGTCACAGGGGCACCCCGGCAGCATTCCAGGTGCCCTGCTCACCCCTGCGGTCCACCCTGTTCCTACCACATCCACACCTGAGCCCTGTGCCACCCTCTTCCCCAACTCGCGCTGGGCATTTCCCCCTCACCGCAGAGTGTGGGGCCCCGCCAGGCAGGTGTCACTCCTGCCTGGCGACAGTGACTGGCATAGGCTTCCAGGGCATCACAGAGGCAGGCGTCAGCCAAAGAGCCGGGGCCACAAGCACATAGGTCATACACGCAGGCGGCAAAGAAGGGCTCTGGTGGCACCACAGAGTGGCAGCGACTGAACGGGGAGGACTTAAGCACACCACACCGGGCGTTGGCCTCACGCCTGGCACGGTAGCCCGCTGCCCTGCACGGATCCACCTCGCGGCCCTTGGAACATATCCGACTGGGTCCCGGCCCTTCTGGGACCTAGGTGGCAAGAGTGACCTTGATGTGACAGCATCCACTGGCGGCTGATCTCTGTGTGCTACGTGCTTCAAAAACACTTTCCACTAAATATTTTGGTTTAGCTCCAAAAATCTCCCTACAAGAATAGCAAAGGAAGCACCAGCTACTTTCTCCTTGTCCCCATTTTACAGCTGGACAAGCTAAGGCCCAGAGCAGGTTAAGTGACTCACCCAAGGTCACACAGCCAGTGAGTGGCAAGGCAGGGCTTGTGGATTCGGATGATGAGGCCTCATTCAACAGGCCACGCTGCCTCCCCCAGCACCACGACAGAAGCAAGAAGCCCCCAAATCACCCTGAAGCTGCAAAGCCCATCTCGTGCCCACCCCCTTCCATATAAGAGGGCTGCTCTATGATCACACTCAGCCACCCAGCTTCTGTGCCACTCACCTGCCAGCTATTCCCAAATGCAGCCTCTGTGGGCGGGAGCAACCCCTCAGGGCCCTGCAGATCATCCTGGGCAAAGCCATTGAAGTTCCCACAGAGCCCACACATCTGGCCCCTGTAGGAGCTGGGCACGCTCACCTCCACCTGAGACTGCCCATCCCACAGCACCTGGGCAGAGAGGTTGGAATCGGGGAATGGGGAAAGGTAGGGACCCCCAGAAGCCCAGGGTCCACCCTGGCCCCATGCACTGTCAGCACACTCCATGCTGTGGGGGAGGAGAATGGGCGGGTAGAGGTTCCCCGTGGAAAGGAGGTTGCCCTGGCCAAAGCCAAGTTGGCACGTGCTCTGTGAGTCCTGGGCACACACAGAAGACATGAAGAGCTGCCCACAGCTCCGGCAGGAGGGCACCTTCTCCCATCGGCACCCCTGAACTGGGCCCCCTGGTGAAATGCTTCAGAGATTCACTTTCTCATGGGCATTAGGGCCTTAGAGAGGATGAAGCACAATTAGAGTCCAGATCAGAAGTATCGACGAGACTTGTTTTAGGAATTTACAAATTGTACTTCTTGCCGAAGGCAGGGAGAAATTTACTCTTCGACATGGGATTTGGAAGGAATTTCAGAAACCACGTAGACCTTAGTTGGCATCCCCTGAATTGTTCCCCCTTTTTACCAATAAGAAAACAGGCCCAGAGAGGGTTGGTACTGGCCTAAGAGTCCCACTGCGTTGGTGACTGAATCAAGATTAGAAACCAGGCTCAGACCTCCCTTCCCTGCACCCAGGGTCTCCGACCATGATTCCTTTCCTCCCCTCAGAATCCAGCAGAACTTTCTGACCTCACTGGCCTGATCTGGCACGGGACCCAGCTGGTATTCCCACTCCCTCTACAGACAGAGGCCTGAACAGGTCCAAGGCTCCCACACCCCCACTGGCCCTTGCGCCGCACCTGGAGCCCGGGCTGGGCATGCAGGATCACGGTGCGTCTCCGTAACTCCACGTACAGCAGCGGCTCCTGCAGAAAGGGCAAGGCCACAGGGCGCCCGTCCACCTGGAGGAGGGAGGCAGGAGGAGGGCCGACGTCGGGACAGTGGAAAGCACGGGACCGACCATCCCTGGGTCCTCAGCTTTGCTCACCGTGACCTCTTTGCCCTGCAGCAGCCGCACCGCCACGTCCCCGAGCAGCACCGCCACTTCCTGGGTCCAGGCCACACCCCTCCGGCCCCGGTTATCGTTGGTCACGTGCACGCTGTGGCGTGAGAGGCCCAGGTGCAGTAGTCAGCAGGGACAGGTGTGGGGAGTTAGGGAGAAGGCAGAGGGGGCTGCGCACCTGAAGTCCCCTCCGCGGCAGTCCTTGGCCAGCACATAGCTGCAGCTGCCCTGGAAGTGCAGCAGGCGGCCGTCGAATGTTCGGTAATGAGGGTCTCCGAAGGCCATGCAGGAGGCGGGTCGGGGCAGGCAGCGGGGGCAGCAGCTGCCGGGACTCAGGGCGGGGGCCTCGTCCTGGCCTCAGCCCCGGATCCCGTCAGACACTTCGCCCTCCCTGCGGTGCCCCTCTCAGAGCCTCCCCGGGGACCGAGGATCTCCCGGGAATCTCCCCGGCTCACCGCAAGCGGGCTCAGGGCACCGCCTTGTGGCCGCGCCTAGAACTGCACGGCCGCAGGGTCTCTCTCCCCGCCCCACTCCCAACCGCGCCGCGGCCGCTACCCAAGCGCTGCCTCCTTCCTCCCGCCGGGTCTTACCAGGAAGGCCTTGCCACATGCCCACTCACCCCACCGCCCTAGACACGGCACTCACGGGGCCACAGGAGAGCGGCGGGCAGCGCTGGCTCTGGCAGCGCACGGTGCCTGCCACGCAGGAGCAAGTGGTGCAAACGTCCACGGCCCAGCGCTCCCCGGAGGCCACCGCCCGGCCCTCGTGCGCGCACGACTGGGCGGGGGCTGAGGGGACAGGAGCGGGGTAGGGTCAACTGCCCGTCCCTCACACTGGGTCTCGCTCGTCCCCAACTCCCATCGTTCTGGCTGGCACCTTGGCATCGCTCACAGCAGCTGCCAGCCTCTCGCACCTTCGCCCAGCCCTGGGGGCAGGAGAGGGCGGGGCACTCCTCCAGGTGGCACTCCACGCGGCCCCGCTGAGGACAGATGTCATTGCTCTAGGGACTTCCTGCAGGGCCTGGGGTGCCTGGCCTCACACTTCTGGGAGCCTCTGGGTCACAGTCTGAGGCAGCAGCCCCTTCTCTCTGCCCCTGCCCTACAAGAACACCCATTTCATGTTCCAGTGGGGGATGAAATACAGCCCTTAGTTCCTTGCCCCGGCACAGGGATGCCACTGCCCGCTCTCACCCAGAGGGGGCGCCTTTTACTAATTACCTCAAAGACCCCATATTCACTGGTCCAGTGTCCTGAGACTCCTCCCTTTATCCATCTGTAAGGTCCTCCGCCCCACCCTCTACCTGCCCACCACCCCCAGCTCACATGGCAGGCGCAAGTAATGCAAGCGTTGCTAGGGTCCCGCCAGCTCTCTCCATCCGCCGCTCTCCGGCCCTCGGCCTCCACCACGCATTCTGAGGAGGAAGAAGTGAGGAGGGGAGAGCATGGTCCTCCCAACTGCATCCTCCTCCCTGGAGCGCACCCTGAAGGCCCGCGCCATTCCGCTAGCACCCCGATGGTGCTGATTTCTGCAACCGGTATCCAGATGACCTACCAGATGGCAGGCCCCGCAACCAGTGCGAGGGAAGTGGAAAGGGTCCTGGAAGCCCAAAGAGTCACAGGCTGGAACCTTCCCATGGGCCAGCTGCCAGCTCAGTGCAATGCCTGTCCAATGGGCCTGGGGCCTCCGAGCCCAGTGACAAGCCCCAGGCCAGGCCTTGAGTATCCAGATTTCATCCTCTGCTTTCCTCTACCTTCTGCACCCCACTGAATGACCCTTCATTTCGACAAGAGAACGAAGCCCACATTTGAAGTACAGACCTCAGGTTGCCCCGTTAGCCTTTGGATGCCACCCTTCCTGTCTCCCCCCTGGGCTCATGTTCACAGGATGCAGGTCAAGGCCGGCACTTACCTCGGCACTCGGGGCAGCAGCTCCCAGGGGGGGTGTGGCGCTCCGATGCGGGACAGCTGAGCTCAGGACAGGCCTGGTGAATGCAGAGCCATGTCAGGTCCTGTGGAAGGGCATGTGAACGCCATCAGTAGAGAAGAACAGGGAGGGAGCAGGGTGGAGGCCAGATATGATATTCAAGGTGTGCGGACGCTTGTCGGAGTGGGCGGGGAGCCTGGAGCGGCAAGAGGGGAGTTGTTGCCACAGTGCACAGAGGAGGAAGAAGAGAGAGCTCTGGGAATCCCCAGGGCGGGGGGCTCACCTGGCACTGGCAGGTGTAGCAAGGGTCCGGCGGGGCCACCTCAGACCCCAGCAGGCCCTCTGTGCAGTTGCTCAGCGCCTCTGTGAAGACAAGAGTTCAGCGTCGGGGACGGAGAGGGGAAGCAGGGGACAAAAGCCCACTTACCCGCTGTGTCCCCAGACTTCTTGGGCCTGGGACATACCCATATCCCCAGCACCTTGATAAGAGGATGAGTCCTCCTTCCTCTTGGGTCCGCAAAGAAAAGTTGGGGCTTTTGAAAAAGAACTCTGCAGACTACTAGGGTGGAGGGCCTGGGAGTGGACAAGGTGTGGCTTCCTTAGCTTAAGGTCACTAAGGACCCTCAGACTGCCGGCCTCGCTTGCTCCCTCTCCTATTTCCTTTTATATTACCTAAACAGCACAAGGAAGCACAGAGAGCCAGGTAGGTACTCCAGGTTCTAATCCTGGCTCCAGCATTCAGTGCCTGGGCCATTTTGGGCAGACTAATCAATCTCTCTGAACCTCAGTTTTTTCATCTGTAAAAGGGAATAATAACACCGCTCACTGGGTAAATGAGAATTAAATGATATAGTGTTTATTAAAAACACCAAGTGCAGGGTATGGCACCTCTGTAGCCCCTCCCCACCTCTGTAGCCCCTCTGGCCTCACATTACGGCCCTCAAGAAGCCCGCAACCTGCAAAACCCCATCCCACAGCGCCACCTGTGGGCAAGATGCTCCACACACTGCGCCTGGCTTCAGAGTCCAGGGATCCCTCCCTGCCAGCTTCCCCAGTCCCCCCTCTGGGGGTGGGGGAGAGGTGCAGGCCGCACCAGCCAGGGCTACCTGAATAGTCCACTGGACTCAAAAAACGGTGAAAGCCAGGGCTGTAGAGGAGAGCGACTGACTTCCAGTGTCACTCTGGGGATGGCAGTCCTACCCTCTTGTCTACCCCCACATCCAGGGACTCACGGGCACAGGTGGGGCAGCAGTGCTGTGGCCCAGGGGGCAGGAGCTGGCTGGCGGGACAGCCCACCAGGCTGGGACACTGCCGCCGATGACACTGAAGGCTCGGGGGCCCCTCAGGCTGCAGCTACAAAAATGAGTGAGCAAAGGGGGTGGGTCCCGGGCCCTGAAAGCCAAGAGCCACCCTCTTTCCCTGGACCCCAAGCCCTTCCATCTGCCTACTGCACCTCCGGCTGGGTGTACCCTGGGCAGGTTAAACTCCAGTCTGCAGAGACTCAACGTCTCCCCAGATCGCTCTTCACCCCATGCCCTAGTCCCAGGAGATGACGTTCCCTTCTCTTTCCAGTTACCCGGGCCTGAACCTTCTTATGAGTGTTGAGCCCCTGCACTCTCCTGCCATTTCCTCCCCTCCCCTGCCAAATCCCTGGGCACAGGGCGTCATTCATCGGCTCACCATTACTTTCAAATGTTATTCCCTCACAGGCCCCCAACCACTTCCCAGGGGTCCCCCTACCTCCCATACACACCCACCCTAAACTCCAGCCAGGAGGGCTGCCCACTGCCCCCACCCCGCTCAGCGCCTGTCCTGCCCCACGCTTCCTGGCCCCGGGGGGCACATTCCTGTCTCTGACCCGCATACTGCTTGCTCCCCATGGTTGCCCCCTTTGTGGTGCCCAGCCCCTCGGCATTGCCCTCACCCACCTCACAGATGCACACTTCACACGGGTCTGCCCCAGGCTGGAAGCTTTCCCCTGGCTCGTACTTCCGACCTTCATGTTCACAGTCTGGGGCAGAACAGGACCAGGGAGCCTTCAGGCTGGCAAGAATGCTAGGGGATGCCCCTGGCTCCAGATTTTGGGGTGTGTGCAAGAGTGGGGGTCACTTCTCCTGGAGCAGCCTGTCTCTGCGGCCCAGCCCGGAGAGAAGTGCTGCCTCCCCGCCCTCCCTCACCCGGCCCCAGGCTCCCAGTACCAGAGCATCGAGGGCAGCAGTCACTGAGCCCTCGGTGGGGCTGGGCACAGGAGCTGACACACTGGACGCGGGCACAGGTGACGACGCCCTCGTGACACATGCAGGAGGAGCAGGGGCTTTGGGGGTGCACCCAGCTACTGCCTTCCGGGTGCTCCTCCCCGTGAGCCAGGCAGCCTGTGTCCCAGGTGGGCAGGGATGCGCTCTGAGTCTTGGTTCTGCACGCGTGCCCCTGTCCCCCCACCCTGGGTGGCCAGCAGGGCATGCGGGTGCCAGGAGGGGGATCTATAGGGATATGGTGGAAAGATGGCCTGGGGCAGTGCTCCTGCCTGTGGCGGACGGGAAAGACCCTGGGCTAGGGTCGGAACACCGGGTTCTTATCCCCTTCCGTGCCTGCTTGCTTGTTAGACCTTGTGCCAGGCAGCAGCCACTGTTGGTGGTAGCCCAGCACCTGGCATGCAGCAGGCATGTAATAAATGCATGTGACATGAATGAAAGGCTCCATCACTAACCATGTGCCCCAGGTAACAATCTCTCCGAGCCTCAGTCTCCTCACCTGTTAAATGGGGATTTCATCTGTCCTGCCTACCTCAAGGGCGCGTGAGACGCTGTGACAGTTCTGTGGAAGCTACACCCTGCTGAGCAGCGTATGAGGGTGAGGGCCAGGAGGCAGCCTAAAACAGGCTCATATTCTAGAACCAGATCGCTTAGATGCACATCCTGACTGCCACCTACCAGCTGCGTGCCCATGGGCAAGCGATGTTATCTCTTTGTGCCTCAGTTTTCTCATCTGCAAAATGGGAGTGATAATAGTACCTATTTGACCGTGTGCGGATTAAGTGAGCTGTGTGTCAAGTGCTGAGCTCAGAATGTGGCACACGGCACGATTATGATGATGACTAGTGTGGTCAGGAAGGTGTCAGTCTTGAGGGGGTGTGGTCTGGGCAGGCCAGGGGCACGGAGGGGTAGGAGGAACCAAAGGCCTGCAGGGATGATGAGAGCTTCAGGGCCAAGGTGTGGGAGGGCCAGGTGGGTGGCCAGGGAGGGGGGAAGGCCGGAGGAGAGCTAAGGAGAGGGAGGGGGGGCCGGTATGGGGCATCGGGCCCGGGGGCAGAGGCCAGGGGGCAGCCACGTGGGGCTGGGCATACCTCTGCAGCGAGGACAGCAGCCCCCCTGCTCCGTGACCTGGAGCGGGCAGGACAGAGGGGGGCACTGCAGCCTCACACAGCTGACCTGGCCGGCCTGCAGGAGATGCAGGTTCAGGGACTTGCCCTCTAGGCCAGGCGCCCCAGAGGCATGGGGACCTAGCCCCGACGCCAACGCCCTCCCCCCCCCCCCCCGCCCGCCATACCTGACAACGACACCACTCGCAGCTGCCTGGGGGCCCCTCAAACTCTGCCCCATCCTGGTGCTCATGGCCCTGGGTGAGGCAGCCTGTGGGAAAGACCTTTCTTGGGTGGGGGGCTGTGCCACCTCGCCCTGCCCGACCTCGCTCAGGCCTGACAGAAAGAGGGGGGAGGGGTGGGGACGAGCATGGGGGGCTGGGGCACGCGGAAGGCAGCTCACTGTGGCAAACAGGGCAGAAGCAGGGTCCTGGAGAGGGGTGGGGGCAGAGAGCTGGAGGACATGGCTTCTTCTGGCAGCGCACGGAACCTTCCTGGGGGGAGAGAGGTCAATTGCTACTTCCCGACTCCGTGTCATCACAACCTGAAACCAGGCTACACACTGCCCCCTGGCAGGATGCCCCCACTGAGCCTGCCGGGCTCAAACCTCCCTCCCTCGGCCCAGGAGACCAGAAGCCAATCCTCTTCCGCTAGATGGTCCCCCGTGAGACCTGGGTGAGGAGACGAGCTCTTCCGGGCCAGAGAGGAGGATCGAGGGATGAAAGGTCACCACGTTCCCCAAAGGCCACCTCACCTGGCAGGTGCAGAGGGAGCAGCTGGGGTCGAGTGGGTCAGGAAGGGTCTCTCCATGGGCTGCGGTGACCCCATGATAGAGGCATCCTGGCAGAGCAGGAAATGCATTGAAAGAGCAGCCATCAGGGCAGCCCCCCATGGCCACACACGCAGCTGGTCCTGACGACCCCTACCAACGCTTCGGGAGTCAGAGAGGGAGAGATAAGTGTGGCCCACGGTGGTGGCCGGGAAGGTGAGGCTTTGGCCAGGCTGTGAGCGGCGAGACCTGAGTGCACGAAGGGAGTCAGGTCTGGAGGTGGGGTCAAAGGCCGCTGGGAAGTTTCTGTCTGTGGGGCCCACGTGACGAGTGGGCACACACACCCGGAATTGAAGGCAAGAGATGGGCTGGGCTCAGGAGCATGGGCAAAGGGAAGCCAGGCGGGAGGGACGCTCCCCCTTGTGACTGGTCACTCGGGGGGCATGGGAGCCATCGAATGGGTTTGAATCTGGCGATGTGACATCTCAGGAAGGCGACGAGACAATTTGAGAGCAGGGAGTTCTGGAAGTGTAAGGCAGTTTGAGGAGACAGCAGGGACAGCCAGGAGGGTGTGGATCCTCAGGGGTCTGAGGAGAGCACAGGGCGTGGGTTTGCTGTGTGGTGACGGTGGTAAGACCAGTTGGGCCCCTGGGGGCTCCAGGAGGGGCAGGAAGGGCAGGTGCTGTCCTACCCTGGCAGGTTGGGCAGCAGTGTCCAGCCGGGGTGAGCGGGTGGCTGCAGCCCAGAGGCTCACAGGGCTGGCGGCCACAGGTCACAAAGCCTCCAAGGCAGGTACACAGATTGCAGGGCTCTCGGGGATCCGGGAACTCCTGGCCGCTCAGGTAGGACTCCCCTAGATACTCGCAACCTTCAAGAGAGGACAGGGAGGGGCAGGGCAGGGGGCAGAAATCAAGAGAGGACAGGGAGGGGCAGAGAGGTGAGCAGTCATCCAGTTCTGACCTTGGGCCCCAGTTGAGGCCTCAAAGACCCAGCAATTGGGGGCAAGGAGAAGGCTCAATCCTGGCAGGAGATGGGGGGGCAAAGGAGTCTGAGATGGGGTACCAGCCAAAGGGCACACTTTCCCCTTTCAGCCTGTAATCTCTCTGGAACGACCCACAAGGAATCTGTCCCTAGAGTTGGATGCTCAGCAGGCCACACCCAGCCAGAAGGTACCAATTTCTCCAACCTGGGGACAGCTGGAGATAGCCCGAGATGGCTTCGGAGACACTGATCAAGGTATCGTCTTTCCAATATTCTTCCGAGCCCCTTGACTAATCAGGGGCCGGACGGGATCCCAGGGTTGTAGCAAGCAGCTCTCTGACACTTGCTGAGAGGTTGCTTTGGGTGATAATGAGGTGTCAGTAGTAACCACAAATCCCTGGTGGGGGATATTGATAAGGAGGGAAGCTGTGCATGTGTTGGGGGCAGGGGGCACTTGGGAAATCTCTGTACCTTCCTCTCACTTTTGCTGTGAACCTAAAACTGCTGTAAAGAAACAAAGTCTTAACAGAAAAAAGAGAGAGAGAGAGAGAGAGGCAAGTCTCCGTCTCAAAGCCTTGGCAGGCAAAAGTTTCTGACTCAAATTTAATGTTCTATTTTTAACTGTATTAATAATTATGGTAATCTTCATTCCTGGAAAATCTAACTCATTTACAGTATGATATAAAGACTCCTTTCTAAATAGGTTTAAAAACAAAAGGATGGGGCACCCGGGTGGCTCAATCAGTTGAGTGTCCCACTTCGGCTCAGGCAGTGATCTCGCTGTTCACGAGTTCAAGCCCTGCGTCAGGCTCCGTGCTGACAGCTTGGAGCCTGGAGCCTGCTTGGGATTCTGCGTCTCCCTCTCTCTGTGTGCCCCTCCCTGGCACACACTCTGTCTCTCTCTCTCAAAAAAAAACTAAATAAACATTAAAAAAATTTTTTTAAGAAAATAAAAGGTTAATTTGAAGAAAAATAGTTAAATAAACTTACAGGTGCGAGAGGGTATGTAGCAAATGTTGCTAAGATAGTACAAGGGTGACCGAAGCCTGGGGAACTGAGTGGGCCTTGTTCAACCCTCTCTTTTTTTTCAGGAGCTAAAATTAGAGTTACACTTAAAAATGGTTAAAGTAGGGGGGCCTGGGTGGCTCAGTCGGCTGGTGGCATCCAACTTCAGCTCAGGTCATGATCTCACAGTCCGTGGGTTCGAGCCCAAAGTCGACTCTGTGCTGACAGCTCAAAGCCTGGAGCCTGCTTCAGATTCTGTGTCTCCCTCGCTCTCTGCCCCTCCCCCGTTCGTGCTCTGTCTCTCAAGGGTGACTAAATGTTAAAAAAAATTTTTTTTAATGGTTAAAGCAGTAAATTTTATGTTATATGTGTTTTACAAAAATACACAGTTTAAAATGTATTTTTTCAATTAAGAAAAATTAGGCCCAGAGAGGTTATGTAACTTGCCCAGGGTCACAGAGCCAAATAGCATCAGCAGCAGGAGAAACCCCAGGTTTTAGTCCAGTGTTTTCTGTTACGGTGACAGATGTTGGGGACTCACTCTAGGGCAGTAAAGATGACGCTGACCCGGCCTTCCCAGCCCCTCATCCCCACGGTCCCCTGCCCCTCACCATCACAGGCAGGACAGCAGTCACCCCTGGCAGGGAAGGGGCACTGAGCAGGTGCGCAGGCCCTGGGCTCGCAGCTGACGCTGCCCTCCCAGCAGAGGCAGACGTGGCACGAGGCAGTGGGCGAAGGGAAACGCTCCCCGCTGGCAAAGTCCTTCCCCTGGTACAGGCAGCCTAGGCGGGCAGGCGAGCAAGGCGGGAGCAGTGGCGGTCGTGGTGGCCGTCTGCCAGGACCACGGCCCCCCCTGGCCTGCCAACCGGGCGGTGTCCCCCCACATTCTTAGTGAGAACCCCGACGTGGGAGTGGTGGGCCCGGAGGAAGGGGGAGGGTACTGGGGTCGCGCAGTGTTAGGGGCTGGAGGAAGGGGGACATGTCATAAGAGGGGACGAAGTAGGGTGAGGCTGGGGGCAGAGCTGGAGGGAGCAGGTGGGGGTGGGGTGCTGCCTAGGCCGGGAGGGGGCGCCAGTTACCGTCGCAGGACGGGCAGCAGGGCCCTTGGAGCGGGTGGGAGCAGGGCGCAGGCGGGCAGGGCAGCCGCTGGCAGGACACAGAGCCATCGAGGCAGAGGCAGCGGCGGCAGGGGTCGTCGGGCTGGGAGAAATGCTCTAGGTGGCGGGCCGGGACCCCGCCCCCTGGCCGCGGGCAGCCGGAGGAGGTGGCTGCAGAGAGCGCGCGCGCGCGCGCGCGCGCGAGTCAGGGCTCCAAGGAGAGGCTGCGGAGGCTCGCCCCTCCCTCCCATGCGGATCTGCCCGAGGGGTGCGCATCCTACCGGGGCACTGCGGGCAGCACTCTCCGGGCAGCAGGACCGGCTCTGGACAGGGCAGCGGCGGGCAGCGGCGGGAGAGGCACTGCACGCCTCCGCTCTGCAACAGAGGGCCCACGCCAGGCCGGTTAGTGGTGGGAGGCTGAGGAGACCCCCACCCCTCTGACTGCCACCTTGGGGGCCCCCTTCCTGGTCTCCCAAGTCCCACCCCTACTCCCCTAGCCTCCTCCTCTCACCCAGGTGGCAGACTCACCAGACAGCGACACTGACGGCAGGGATCAGACGGGTGGGGGAAGTCTGCTCCGTTAGGGTACTCTTTCCCGCCAAAGGCACAGCCTGGGGGAGGGGGCAGCTATAGGCCTGGGAGGGGCCCATTCCTCCCCGGGTAGGCTGCCCTTCCGTCGCTAAAAGCCCGCAGATGGGGCCAAGCCATCCCAGGAGACCGCCCCCCCCCCCACCTTCCCCATGGCATCCACCTCACCATTGCAGTTGTTCTGGCAGCAGGTGCCAGGCAGTGGATGGGCACAAGGGGCCCTGGGGCAGGCCCGAGGCTGGCAATGGGCGTGGCCTTCCTGACACCGGCACTCCTGGCAGGGGTCTCGGGGGTGGGAGAAGCTCTCGCCATCCACAAATACTTGCTCCTCCAGGATGCAGTCTGAGCATTGGGGCAGGGAGAGGGGCAGGAGTGGGGGCGAGGACTGACAGTTCTAGGCATGGGCTGACAGCCCATCTATCCTTGGAGTCCAGGGCCACTGAGGAAATGCCAGCAGGAAGCACCACGGAGAGAGTGGAAGAAGGGTCTGTGTATGCAGGCATGGGTATCTCTCCGAGCACACGCTCGCATGTGGAGGCATATTTGAGCCCATTTACCTGATGCATGTGTGTATGCCTCTGAGGGTGAACAGCCAAGGAGCTCGTGCATGAACGTGCCTGTGTTTGTGATACACGCTCTGGTACAGACTCTCCAGGAGGGCGGGGCAGGGACCAGGTTACACTGCACCCTAGCTAGCACCCAGCCTCCCGCGCATCAGACCCAAACGTTTGTGGCATGGAGCTGCTTTATATAGACACAGGGATATATCTGACCGGTAAGGGTACTGGAGGAGGAAATACAGAACAGGAGGGAAGGGACATATAGGAACATGAAGGGATAAACATCTCTCTACTCTCCCTCCTACCCATACCCTGTGAGTTCCAGAAAGTCCAAGCTGTGTCTGAAAACAACTCAGAAGGCTGTTGCTTGCTAGGGTATCTGTTGAGCCCGTGGGGCCATGGGAGAGCTGGCTCCGGGGCCCCCAAGCCAGACAGGTGTCATAAGCACATACCTGGGCACCTGGGGCAGCACTGGTCGGGTCCACTCTGGGGCCTGGCACAAGTTGTGGGAGGGCAGTCAACCAAGGAGCACCTCACAGTCCCAGCCTGGGAGCAGGGGAGAGGGCAATGAGGGTGGGCTCCAGGAGGGGCTCAGCAGGGCAGTAGCAAGCCTGGGGTGGTACCTCGCAGCGGCAGGCGTGGCAAGGGCTATCCGAGTCCGTGAAGTTCCTCCCATTGGCATACACTTGGCCGTGATAGGTGCAGCTCTCACAGCTGGGGCAGCAGGCACCTGGGGGAGGCAGACTGATCAGAGCCCAGCTGATCCGGGTGGGCTGGACAAAGCAGGGGGGAAAGGCCAGTTCAGGGTGGGGCACTCACCGGGGAGCTGGGTAGGGTGCTGGCAGGGGGGTGGGGAGCAGAGCACAGCCCCACACATGGGCACGCCATCGTGACAGGAGCAGGCCGTGCAGGGCTGACCATCAGGCTCCCACTGGACCCCCTCAGCAAACTCCTCTCCATCCAGCACGCAGGCTGCCGCAAGGGGGGCTGTCACCATGGCAACCGAGACACCTGCTGCCACCCCTGACCTTCCCAGACCACAGGGCCCTGGCTCTGCCAGGCCTACGGTGGCCTCTGACCCCACGTTGGGAGTGGCTGGTGGACCAGACAGTGCCCCCCTTATTGTGAAGGAACCCCTCCGTCTTCAGCGCCTGCGAGCAGCACTCCTGTGAAGCTGTTCCTCTTTCTCTCCCTCCCCACACATACCTGGGCAGAGCTGGGGGCCAGAGTCAGGCAGGGTGCAGGGGGCAACCGGGCACGCCTGCTCCTCACAGGACACCTCGCCGGCCTAGGAGGGATGCCGGATGAGAGGTCCTCAAGGGGTGAGACAGATCTGGGGTGTGAGAGGGCGCGACTGGCTACCTGGCAGGAGCAGCGGATGCAGCGCCCCCTCTCTTGGAGCCGGAAGGTCTCCTCACTCTGGTACTGGTGTCCCTGGTACTCACAGCCTGCTCAGGAGGACAGGGGGACTGGGGGCAGGGCTGGAGGCTGATGGGGAAGCCTCACGTCACCTCAAAGCATCCACCCCCCCAACCCTGATGAGCCAGCCTCCCCTACCTCCAGGATCAAGGGCCCCGCCATGGTGCCCAGTGTGCCATGAGAAGGTGAGAACGTGACCCTCACCCGTGGTGACGGGAGCCTAGGCCGATCAAGGACTTGTCCTGCACTTTAGTTCAAGGGAGCTTCCTGTAGGTCTAAACGCCCGACCCCTCCCCCCTCCCGAGCCTCTCTTGGGCCAGTGCTTGCCCCTCTCCCGGTGACTCGAGTCCCCAGCTCACCATCACAGACTGGGCAGCACTGGCCAGGGATCCTGCCTGGGTGTCTGCAGGGCACGGGCGGGCAGGGCAGAGGCTCACACTGGACACTCCCGTTCTGCCAACAGGGCCTGATCAGCATTCACGAGGCAGGCCCAGAAGCCAGGCCCTCCCTGCCAGGCCAGCCACACTCACGGCACAGTGGCAGCGCGAGCAGGGGTCCCCAGAGCCCACGGGCTCTCCGCTGCGGTACTCCCGCCCATTTAGGAAACAGCCTGTTGGGGAATAGGGTGCCTTAAAGTCCTGGCCTTCATGGGAGACTGAGCTGGGCCACAGGTGAGCTTTCTGGACCCCCACTCCAGACTCCACCTACTGACTCACCATCGCACAGCGGGCAGCAGGTGCCTGGACGAGGCCGGGCAGGGTACGGGCACAGGCTGGAGCATTCTCGCTGGCGGCACTGAATGTGGCCCTCCTGGGAGGGGGCACAGCGGGCAGGGGAAGGGGCCATTAGAGCTCCGTCAAGTGGCAGAAATGGCAGTCGAGTTCCCATGATGCGCTTACTAGATGTTGTTATGAGTTGAGCTGTGCCCCCCTCCAAATTCATATGTTGAAGTCCTAATCCCTCGCACCCCAGAACATGACGTATTTGGAAATAGGGTCACTGCATATATAATTAGTTAAGCTGAGGTCATACTGGAGTGGGGTGGCCCCTCCAAAAACTGTGTCCTTAAAAAAGGGGAAATTTGAACACAGACACACACAGGGAGAGCAACATGTGAAGATCAAGGCAGAAGCCAAGGGATACCAAGGATTGCCAGCAAACCACCAAAAGCCAGGAGAGAGGCCTGGAACAGATTCCCTCTTACAGCCCTCGGAAGGACACCTTGACCTTGGACTTCTGACCTCCTGAACCACGAGATGATACATTTCTGTTGTTTAAGCCAAACCCCTTTGCGGTACTTTGTTATGGTGCCCAGCACGTTACTGAAGCTCTCTGTGACTCAGTTTACCCATCGGCAAAGACAGTAATAGTCCTGTCCTCACAGCCTTGTTATGGGAATGAAATGAGATATGGCGTCCGGTGTGACAGCCACTTCTGGAAGCTGGCGAGTAAACAGTAGCTGCTGCTACTCGCCACGGCTGTTCCCAGACAGACCCCCGCCCTTTGAGGTCCCACCTACATCAGGGCTCACTATGTCCAGTCCCGTAAGTGGGCAGCCAGTGACTCTTCTCACAGGTGTCGGGAGGGTGGTCCATGTGAACAGGGAAGGGAGGCATGTGGTTGCAAAGGGGATGGATGCCCCATGGCCTTCGCAGTGGAGTCTTCAGACCTTGGTAGGCTGTCAGGAAACTGTATGGCTCTGGCTTGAAACACAACCCTTCTTAGGATGCTCCCTGCCTGGACATGACGTTTCCACGTCCCCACCTTCTTCCCCCAGGCTTCGCCCTGACTGTTCCCTACACCTGGTGTCTTAGTCCACTTGGGTTGCTGTAATGAAATCCCATAGGCTGGGGGGCTTACAGACAACAGAAATTTACTTCTCCCAGTTCTGGAAGTTGGGAAGTCCAAGATCAAGGTGCCAGGAGATTCAGTGTCTGAAAAGGACCGGCTTCCAGGTTCCTAGACACCTGCTTTTTCACTGTTTTCACGTGGCTGAAGAGAGGAGCTAGCTCTTTGGGGTCCCTTCTACAAAGACACTAATCCCATTCATGAGGGCTCCACCCTCATGACCTAAGCACCTCCCAAAGGCCCTACCTCTAAATACGATCACCTTGGGGTTAGGATTTCAACATATGAATTTGGGGGAGACACAAACATTCAGTTCATAGCACCTGGAATGTCTTCCCCCATTTCTTCCTGCTTAAATGCTACTCACCCTTTAAGACCTAGGTAAACACCATCCCTTCCATGAAGATTTTCTAGATCTGTGTTGCCCAGTAGAAACATAACACAAGTCGTAAGTCATTTTAAATTCTCTAGTAGGGGTGCCTGGGTGGCTCAGTGGGTTAAGCGTCCAACTCTTGATTTTGGGTCAGGTCACGATCTCATGGTTGTGAGATCGAGCCCTGTGTCAGGCTCTGTGCTGGGTACGGAGCCTGCTTGGGATTCTCTCTCTCCCTCTCTCTGCTTCTCCCCTGCTTGCACACACGTGCTCTCTCTCACTCAAAAAAAATAAAATAAATTAAATTACTCTAGCAGTCAAATTTCAAAAAGGAACAGAGGAAACTAAATATTACTATATATTCCATTCAACTCACTATATCCAAAAGTTATTTCTTTTTTAAAAAACTTCAAAAAATGTTTATTTATTTAAAAAAATTTTAATGTTTATTCTTTTTTTTTTAATTAAAAAAAATTTTTTTAACGTTTATTTATTTTTGAGACAGACAGAGACACAGCATGAACGGGGGAGGGTCAGAGAGAGGGAGACACAGAATCCGAAACAGGCTCCAGGCTCCGAGCTGTCAGCACAGAGCCCGACGCGGGGCTCAAACTCACGGACCGCGAGATCATGACCTGAGCCGAAGTCGGCCGCTCAACCGACTGAGCCACCCAGGCACCCCTTAATGTTTATTCTTGAGAGAGAGAGGGGGAGAGACAGAGACAGAGCATGATTTGGGGAGGGGCAGGGAGAGAGGGAAACACAGAATCCGAAGCAGGCTCTAGCCTCTAAGCTGTCAGCACAGAGCCCGATGTGGGGCTCGAGCTCACGGACCACGAGATCATGACCAGACCCAAAGTCAGATGCTTAACCGACTGAGCCACCCAGGTGCCCCTATTTATTTATTTATTTATGTTTTTTTTTTCAACGTTTTTATTGATTTTTGGGACAGAGAGAGACAGAGCATGAACGGGGAAGGGGCAGAGAGAGAGGGAGACACAGAATCGGAAACAGTCTCCAGGCTCCGAGCCATCAGCCAGAGCCTGACGCGGGGCTCGAACTCACGGACCGCGAGATCATGACCTGGCTGAAGTCGGACGCTTAACCGACTGCGCCACCCAGGCGCCCCGCCCCTATTTATTTTTGAAAGAGAGAGTACCAGCAGGGGAGGGACAGAGAGAAAGGGAGACAGAGAATCCAAAGTAGGCTCCTCATTGTCAATGCAGAGCCCAACTCAGGGCTCGAACTCACGAACCTCCAACCATGGAATCATGACCTGAGCTGACGTCGGTTACTTAACCGACGGAGCCACTCAGGCGCCCCCCCCAAAAGTGATTTCAACATAAAGTAGCAATGAGATGTTTTATATTCCTTTCTTTTGTCCTAAGTCTTTAAAATCCCACATTTTGCACTTCAGCCCATCTCCAACTGGACAGCTACTTTCAAGGGCTCAGTGGCCACATGCGGTGGTGGCCACAGACGGGACAGCGCAGTTCTAGATGTCTCCACGTAATCTGCATTTCTCTCTCCCCCGAGCTGCTGCTGCCTGTCATATCCTGACCTGCCTCACTTCCGGAGCTTGCAAGCTCTTTGAGTTCATTCGCGAACCCACGCTGCACATCTACGATGCTCAGAACTGGGCATACAGGTGGGCACAGCCCCATCCTCACCCTCATAGCGCCCAGGATCAGGTCTTCTCCACCTCTGTCCCCTCCCAGTGCGTAGGGGATGTGCTCAGTGAAATGGAGGGATGAATATGGTTGGCCTGGGGATGGGGAGGGGTGAGGGGTTTGGGAGCAGCGGAGGGACTCACCAGGCACCGGCAGATCCGGCAGGGGTCCCCAGGGGCAGTCCACTCTTGGCCATGATCCCAGCGAGAGCCACCTTCCGTGCAGCCTGGGGTTGAGGTAAAGATGGACACAGAGGAAGCCTGGTAGGAGCCGGCCTGGATAGCAGCTTCAGCCGGCCCCGACCCTCTTTCACATGCCCTGAGCCCAGACCAGACCAGGCCATGCCTCTGCCTAGACTCCTGAGGGCTTCCAGTGCAAGGCCTCCCGGGACCCCAGTGTGGCCACGCCCACCTCCCCCCAGCTCTTGGCCCCTCCTCACCTCTCGCTGTAAGCCTTGGCCATTCGCGTACATTTGCACCTTCCCGCCTACCACACACCCACCTCACATGACTGTCAGTCCCGAGCCTTTGTGCAAGCTCTCCTCTCTTCCTGGAATGCCCTCTGCCTTATTCCACCCTTCCCCTAGCTAACTGCTCTTTATCCTGAAGGTTCACTCAGGACGCGCCGCCTCCAGGACGCTTTCCTTCCTGTGTCCAGGCTGGATTAGGTCTCCTTCCTCTGCGTGTCCACAGTGCCCGGCACCTGCTTCTAATACTGCCTTTGCGACAGTACTGGTGTGTGACTCAGTGTCACCCTCTAGTGGTCTTCTTGGAGGGGGGGCCCCCTTGTGTCTTCCGTGCACATAGCAAATGAAAATGCTCAGCATTTATCAAGGTATAGAATGGCATTATCCACACCTCACAAATGGGGAATCGAGACCCAGAGTAACTCCCTCAGAGGTACCCGGCCACGAAATGGCAAGGGTGGGATTTGAGGCCAGGCACCTCAGCTCCAGAGCAGCGTTGGCCGGGCATCGCTTCCCCACTGACCAACCCCCCAGGTCAGGGCCAGCAGAATGGGCTCTGGAGTTGAAGAAATGCTGTGATGTCCCCACCTGGAGCTCTACCAGGGAAGGGTCAGGGCTCTCACCTTGGCAGGTCGGGCAGCAGTGGCCAGGCCTCAGGACTGGCTCAGGGCAGGGGCTGGGTGGACACTTGATGGGTGCACAGTGAACCAGGCTCCTCTGTAATACACCAGTTGCCGTAAAGCCACCCGGTCTGGCTCCCAGACAGGGCAGGGTGGACAAGCGTCAGACATCCTTGGAGGGGTGGGGCACAGGACCGCGATGGAGGGTGAGCCTCACCGGCAGGAGGTCTTGGGAGGTATATGAAAGACCAGCAGGTGTGACCCAAGGGGGAGCAGGGAGAGTATATGGAGGAGCAGGGCCTGAACGAGGCGGGTGGGGACTCACCAGGCAGGAGCATTGGAGACAAGGGTCGGCGCTGGACAGGAAGCTGGCCCCCTCTTCATAAGGCCGCCCCTCATACTCACAGCCTGGGGAGGGTTGTCAGGATGACAGGCCGGTCAGCAGAGAGCAGGGCGAGTGGACATCACCCAAGGGAAGGCATGACCCCAAGTAGGTACCGGACCCTCCGGGGCTGAGGGGATGGAGGGGCAGGGTGGGGCGAGAGGTCACCTGGCCGGCAGACAGGGCAGCACTCCCCAGGTGGGGTGTAGCTCTCCAGGCAGTTGAGCTCTGCACATGAGGGCCCCTGGCACCGCACGGTCCCTGCCTGCAGGGCAGACACTGAGCCCTCCCTCCCTCTCCACTGCCCGAGCTGAATTACTCCGCAGGCCTGGTGGGCCTAGCAGGCTGCAGGCCTCGAGGCCTGGGTGGCAGCAGCAGCTCTGTCTGGCCCCCAGATTGGGCTCGGCATGCCGAGCATCAGGGATGTGCGTGGCGGCCGGGACTAGGCTCTGATTCCCTTACCTGGCAGGTGCAGATGACACAGGGCTCTGGTTGCCATGTTTCCCCATCCCTGTGGCCTCCAGGGCAGCCTGAAAAACCAGGGCCAGGCCCCCGAGTAAGAGACCCAGGGTACCGGAACCAAAGCACCCACAAGGGAACCACATCAAAGGGCACCGTTCAGGGGGCGCCTGGGTGGCTCAGTCGGTGAAGCGTCCGACTTCAGCTCAGGTCACCATCTCGCGGTCCCTGAGTTCCAGCCCCGCGTCGGGCTCTGGGCTGATGGCTCAGAGCCTGGAGCCTGCTTCCGATTCTGTGTCTCCCTCTCTCTCTGCCCCTCCCCCGTTCATGCTCTGTCTCTCTCTGTCTCAGAAATAAATTAAAAAAAAAAAAAAAAAAAAAAGGGGGCGCCATTCAGGAGACAGATTTTTGTATTTACTACAACTTTCCAGCAGATGGCAGTAAAGCGTCTGACTCAAGCATAATCAGATTTCCACTATTTTACAATAGATGCAAGTGTTGAAGAAAGGGTGCTTTTTAAAAAATTTCACGGAAGATATCATATGAGCTAGCAGTGGCCTTGAGGCACCACGTGTCCTGAAATCTGTGTGCATGAGAGAGAGAGAGAGAATGTGTGTGTCCCTTTTCTTTGGGATCCATCGACTCCCAAGACTCCACTCCTCATCTCTGGCCAAGACTCCCAGTGTACATTTCCAGACCTCGCTGGTCTCCTGAGCCTCTGACCCACCCTGTGCCCCTATCAGCTCATATTCTGCCACATAAAGTACAGGATGCCGGGTCGAATTTGAATTCCACGTAGACGATCCATATTTTTTTTAGTATAAGTATGTCCCAAATATTGCATGAGACAGACTTACACCAAAAAAGTATGTGTTGTTTATGTGAAACTCAAAGCTAACAAGGCATCCTGTATTTTTGGGGGTAAATCAGGCAACCCCATCTCCCTGACTCGGAGCTACTAACATCCCCCAGCAGAGCCACTGCCTCCTGCCTCCACTTCCTCCCAGTTCCCTTCATGTCACTGGCACCACTGCCTTCCTAGTTCCCCACTATTGCATGGGGTCTAACCCACCAGCTCCTGCCCATTGTTTTAGAAACACCCCGCCCCTCTGCAGCCACTGCTATCCCTGGCTCCATGCCTAGACAACCACTGTACTAGCCCGCTAACTGGTTCTGTCTGCATCCAGTCCATACCAGATGGTTAGTCCTAAAACACTCCTTTGAACAAGCCACACTCCGGCTCTGCAGCCTTCAATGGCTCCCCATTGCCCACAGAAGAAAGTCCAAAATGCAAGGCTTACAGCAGTCTGTTACCACGGAGCCTCTGGCAGCTAACCACATACTGCCCTTCTTTACGTTCTCTTACTCTATTCATTGGATCTTAAATCTTGTGTTATGTTGGCTGTTTATTTTCTCAACTAGATTAGAAGCTCCCCGGGGGCAGGAAAAAGATCATACAGAGCTTTTGGATCGGTCCCAGGCCGGAGTGAGTATTTGCTGGCTGTGCTTCCGTTCTGAATTCCCTAACTACTGCCAGAGTGGGTGGGCAGGCACTCTCTGGGCATGTGGCAGGGGGCAGACGATGGCTCTGGGGGCCCCAGAGTGAGTGCAGGAGGCGAGGCTGGCAGGAGGCTGACCTGGCTCACAGTGAGGACAGCATGTTCCTGGCTCCGGGCAGGGTCCTCTTGGGCATGGCTTCTGCGTACACTTTATGGTTCCTTCCTGTGGGGAAGCAGACTAGTGGCTGCCCAGCCATCAGAACCCCGAGGACCTGGCCTCCAGAACTGAAACCTCACCCCAGGCTGTGACACACCAGAGGAGCAAGAAGTTGAGGCAGCTCAGGGTACACGGGCTACCTTCGGTCTGAGGGCAGGAAAGAGACACCCTACCCCCACTCCCATCATCTCCTACTGCTCTTGGCCCCCAGAAAGCATCTCTTCCAGGTGCCAGCAAGTTCCCAGAGTGGAGAGATCCTAGGAAGGGGACTGCAAACTTCCTCAACGGAGGAGCGAGGAAGGAAAGGCTGGAAGAACGTGGATGTGGAGCCGAGTGAGGGGGAATAGGCAGGTAGATGACAGGGACAGGTGGATGGGCAGGGACAGTGAGGGTCCACAGGAGAGGGGGCATGTAGGAAGACAAGCAACTCCATCCTCTCTGCCCTCCATGCCACTGCTTGCCAGGCCCAAATCAGAGAGGTTTGGGGGCCCCCGCCATGTGCGTGTGGTGGGGGGGGGGGGGTTAAGCCCCAGAAAATATAGCCACTTGGAATCAGCCGGAGCCACTGGCGGCCAAAACTTTGGGGGAGGGGCAGGCAGACCCCATTACAGGACATTGAGCACACCGGGCCGCAGTGGCTGGTAGCTTAAGTGAAGCAGGTGAAGGGGCCAAGTATGGGATATCCAGGTGGGTCGCGGGAACTCACCAAGCAGTGACAGGTGGTGCAAGCGTCCGGGGAGAAGGTCTCCCCGTTGCCATAGGTCTGACCATTGTGGCTGCAGCCTGGGGAGAAGATAGTGCTGTCACTCAGGCACTCGCGGCCATCTCTAGGTGCCGAGGTGGTCCTGGCAGGCAGACAGGGTGGCACTCACCGTGGCAGTGGGGCAGGTCGGGCTTGGGGTCACAGTGCACGGTCCCATCCTGGCAGACACAGGCGGTGCAGGTGTCAGGCTCCCAACGAGCACCCTCGGGCCAGGCCCGCCCCAGCCCCCAGCACTGGGGAGACGCTGGGCGGCATTCACAGGACTCCAGCTGCCTCACCCTCGCCTGCAGCTCTTTGTTCTGGGGAAAGAGGGAGAGGGGAAAGTGGGGGGCACTGGCTCAGCTCCCCACTACCCAACACATCCCGCGGATTTGTAGGGTGTGAAGACCGAGCAGGACGAGAAGGAAATCTGACAGTTCCAGGGGAGAGGTTGGTGCCCTCCACACAGCGTCCAGTTTAGACACAGTTCTCAGGACCTAGAGTCTGGACGGACTCCCAGAGGGACATGGCGCGCCCAGACCTCTCCTTTGGAAAGAAGGGGACCCGATCCCCTCTCTCTAACAGTTTAAGTCCTTTACCCATCCAAAATCTTTCCTGATGATGCCTTATGTATCGTAGGTCCTCCATAATATTTGTCAAACACATGAAAGAATACGAAAGTCTAGATGGAAAAAACAAATACTCCGGAGGCTCTTCGTTTATATGAAAGAATCGATGTGAAGAGCTGTTCATATAAGAATTTCTCCATGTGCGTTTAAAATAAAACTCGGGG